CCTCTTGCTCCTGGAGCCCAAGGAGCCTCACTTTCTTTCTTCTTATTCTTATTATTATATTATCATCATCATGATCATTTTTGATACAGTTCCGTAGGCCCTGAGATTTTCCTTACTCCCTCCCCAAGTTCCCCCCCCCCCTTTATTATTATAGTATAGTTCTTCATACACAGTCATGTGTTTATCATTAAGGGCATGGACAATGGCAGAGTCCAGCAACCTATTGTCAAGATATAGTAAATAGTTTAATTGGGAGTCCATCTTTGATCTGAAAGTAGAGATGCATACTGCATTGTATCCTCACATTTGGATATGATAGTCTCCATTATACAGTTACTATACATATCCCCTTCAATGAAGACCACAATACAAAATAAACAACAGGAAGAAAATAGAAAATTGCAATGCCATGAAGTTAAACACCATGCCACTGAATGACAAATGTGTCACTGAAGAAATGGAAAAGAAAATCAAGAACCTTTTTGAAGAAAATGATGCTACTGTATGATCTATGAGTCAATGAAGAATCTGATGAGAAGAAAAGTGTTTTGAAGAGCTGAAACTAAATAAAAAAAATCAAAATACATGAGCTATAGTTTCTGCTGATCTTTGTTGGTGAGATATATCTCCTGTAGGCAACAGATAGATGGGTTTTATTTTTTTAAATCCAGTCTGCTAATCTAAGATATTTGATTGATGAGTTTAAGCCATTTACTTTCGGGGTTAATATGAATGAGTGGTAATTAGGTTCCTTCATTTCAGCAATGGGTAGTTCATTAGTTTAGTCTTCCGTTGTCATTTTGCTGGGATGTTCTTCACATTTGCCTTTGGTTTTGGTGGGTGCTATTTCTCTTCTTTGTCAAGAGAACATCTTTAAGTGTCCTTTGTAGGGAGGTTTGGAAGAGGCAAATTCTGTGTTTTTTTTTTTAAAGATTTATTTATTTTTATTGGAAAGGCAGATATACAGATAGGAGGAGAGACAGAGAGGAAGGTCTTCTGTCCAATGGTTTACTCCCAAAGTGACCGCAACAGCTGGAGCTGAGTCAATCTGAAGCCAGGAGCAAGGAGCCTCCTCTGGGTCTCCCACACGGGTGCAGGGTCCCAAAGCTTTGGGCCGTCCTCATCCTCGACTGTTTTCCCAGGCCACAGGCAGGGAGCTGGATGGGAAGTGGGGCTGCCGGGATTAGAACCGGCACACATAAGGGATCCCTACGCACTGCATTGCATTCAAGGCGAGGACTTTAACTGCTACACTATCACGCCAGGCCTGGAAGAGGCATATTCTTTTAATGCTTATTTACTGTGGGAGAATTTTATTTCATTTTCAAAGACAAAGGAGAACTTTGCCAGGTACATCATCTTGGGCAGACAAATTTTTGCTTTTAGAATCTAGGAATATGTCACTGCATTCTCTTGGTTTGTAGAATTTCCTGTGAGAGGTCTCCTGTGAATTTAATTGACATTCCTTTATATGTCAATCGATTTTTTTCATGTGCACATTTAAGGATCTTTTCCTTAGGTTTGACTGAAGAGAGCTTTATTATCATGTGTTGTGGTGAAGATGGCTTTTGGTCAAGCCTGTTGGGGGTTTTGTGCCCCTCCTGGGTGTTGTTTCCCAATTCTTTCTATAGATTAGGGAAAATTTCCCTTATTATTTCATTGAATACACCTTTAATCCCAGCTTCCCTTTCTGCTCCTTCTGGCACTCTCATAACTCTTTTTTTAAAATTTGTTTTATGAAAGGTTTGCAGTCACTTGTGCCACTCCCTCCAGCGCGCTTCAGGTCTGAGTTCTTACGTTTGACTTCCACCATGGTTTCTGTAGTCCCAGCTCCTGGCTCATCACGCTCCACCTCCTGTGATACCGTGCTGAGGTTGCACCATTGTCTGTATAACCTTTCTCCCACCTCCTATGAGAAGAGTTCCCAGGATTAGGGAGACACCAGGTATCCTATATAACTAGATTGTTGGTGGTGCTGATCTTGCTGGACCCTGTGGTTGTTAGGTCTGAGGGCCACATGGACTTATTTTGGCCCATACGATGCCATAGTCAGTATTATTTTCCTGTGGAACCAGTGTGATGCACTGAGCTCAGTGTGCATCTGCTCCTGGCAGGAGAGCAGTGTCCATGTGGAAGCTGCAAGGCCCGGCTTGCCCTCCTTGCAGTGGCAGTGACAGAGGAGTAGGTCGGGGTGAGGTGGAGTTTGGGGAGCAGCAAGTTCGGCTTGGCCTCAACCTCTGGGACCCCAGCCTGACTTTGGGTGCCATGACCTTCATCCGTATCTCTGTTTAGTCAGACACCCCGTCCTCTCTCTTGTGCACCCCAGGTCATGCCTGCCCTCTGCCATGTACTCTTCAAATAGTCTCCCTCATGGCAGGTGCCCAGTGCCAGGAGGGTTGGACCCTGGAACATCTGTATACACATAGCAAGATACTTGGGGGACGGGAGCCAAAACTAAATACCAAAGTGCACGTGTGTTGTGGATTCTGAATACAAGTAACCAGAGGGTGATCTGATGCAGGATCTTCAATTGGCCTGCTTTTTTTTTTTCTCCTGACCTGTGTTTTGACTGTAATTCCATTACAGGAGGTGAGATGTGGGGTTTTTCACTGGTGATACCACGTTGATGCTCAAAAAGCTTTAGATTCCAGAGTATATTTCAGAGGAGAGACATGAGGCTCCACTTGTGTTAGCTCAGTTAATTTACCTTGTGGTGAGATGCTTTTTATTTTTTTTTTCTTGAGATTGATTTATTTTTTATTGAAAAGATAGAATTGCATAAAGAAGGAGAGACAAAGATAGAGGTCTTCCATTTGCTAGTTCACTTCCCAAGTGGCCGCAATGGCCGGAGTTGAGCTGATCTGAAGCCAGGGGCCAGGAGCTTCATCCAGATCTCCCATGTAGGTGCAGGGTCCCAAGGCTTTCCCAGGCCACAAGCAGTGAGCTAGATGGGAAGTGGAGCAGCCGGGACTCGAACTAATGTCCATTGGACTTTCCTCCTGGCCTGTCGCCAGGGAATTTGTGTAGCATTCTGTGACAGTGTGGCTTGAGCGGTCTCTTCATCACTTCAACGATGGTTGAAGACCTTGTCTCCTCTTCTTGTTCCTGACTGGTTAGGAGACCCACGTTCCACACCAAAATCTCCACTCCCGACCTGAGCTCCCTGCTAGTGCACATCCGAGGAGGCACCAGGTGATGGCTCATGTACTTGGGCTCCTGGTCACTCACATGGAAGATTCTGGATGAAGTTCCTGACTCCTGGCTTCACCCTGGGCTAGCCCTGGCCATTGCAGGCACTTAAGGAGTGAATCAGAGAATGGGGGGTGGGGTGGGGGAGAAACACACGAGTGGGTGGCAGTTTGGGACTCTCATATCATCAGACACATCCCCCGCCCCCCTCGGCAGTCACTCTTAGGGACCCAGCTACTGTCCCTAGAGGGATGCACAAGTGGCAAGGGCAGGCCACGTGTGGATGCTCCTGTTAAGTCTCCGAGGTGACAGCAGGTCCCAGGCATGGAGGTGCTGCGGTTTCAGACTGCGGTTTCCTGGGCCAGTGACCCCTTGAATGACCCCAGCTCTGGCCACTGTGTACTGGTGAAAGACCCCTAGCCCAGGCTAGCAGGTGGCCTCCATGAACCCCGGCTGTAAAGCTCAGGGTAGTCTATCCTGGCCCTCTGCTCCACCCAGCTCAGGGCCTGACAAGGAGCAGGTGTTGATTAAATATGCCTCCAAAGTCATTGTTCACCCTGAGATAGAATAGATTTATTAGCAAGAGGTAATCAGGAAACATATATTTTTACAAAAAAATGGAAATTTGTTTTTTTCCAAACAAGCTGTAAGTTGAAATAGTTTAGGACTTGAAAGAGAATTCTCATACCACTAGGTATTGCTTACAGCAAAAGTGTCTGTTGCTTGGAGTGGCTCATGCCTGCCACGTTGGAATTGACCTGTGGTCTTCTATGCTGTACAGCGTAAAAAATACGTGGTGATATTCACAGAATAAGCACTACCTTACTATATTCCTGCTAGAAGGCGTTTAGACAGGACTACAGTATATGCAATAAAAACACGTGGTTATTGATTTCCTAGTTCTACAGTGAGGGGCTAATTGTCACAGGGTCTACAGACTCAGCAGCTCAACGGAAGCTTGTGGTGACAGGTAGGTGAAGAGGAAAAAGTAACATGTCGTGTGCCCAGTTTCCAGGGTGGGCTGGGCAGAGGGTCTCCCCTGACACCTCCTGCTCGGGCTCTCTCCTCCAATTTGTGGCACCTTGGTGTGAGTCCTAGTACCAGGGGCTGCTGGGAGCCTGAGCTGGGGTGGGGTGGAGGGAAAGTAGGCAGCGTTGGGTCGAGGAGCATGGAACCCAACGGATGGGGTTCCCTTCTGTCCAGGGTTCTAGTGGAAGACAAGATGGGGAGGGGGCTGGTCGGGGTGTGGGGAGTCATTTTGAGACCTGCGGAGTTTGGCTGAGAAAGCTGCTTTGGAAATTGGCATCACCGTCAGCGTCAATGACTGGATTTCAGGGTATGCTCAGCCCTCCCACCTCCCTCCTCCCTCCCCTCCCTCTGCGCAGTGAAAACAGCTACATGGGTCATGCTGGGAGGATGCCTGGGTGGCCCGACTCAACTCAGGGGCCCCCCTCCCCTGCCAACCCCAGGATGATGGAGCCATGGTGGAGGAGGGAGAGCAGGGCTGGAGGCTAAGACTGGTATATGTGTGGGTTCTGTCTCCCTTCCTCCACCAAGAAGAGGGGGAGGGGGCCTCCAGACAGCAGAGGTCAAGGAGGGCTGTCTGGGCGAAAACAGCCACTGCAGGGGTGAGTCGTGGAGGAGTGGGCAGAGCGTCCACCGGCAGGGGGGACTCCTATTCCGGTTCTGCAGGGAATCTAAGAAGGAGAGCAGGTCTGGGGTCTGGGAGAAGCACATACGGAAGGAGGAAATCCAGAGACCAGAGCGACTATGTACAAGGTCCCAGGGCACGACGTGTGTCACAGGCGCATTCAGGTGGGGAGCTTCGGTTCTAGCCGGAGGGAAGACTCGTAGAGGCTGTCCTCGTCCATCACGAAAGATTGATCCAGTAGATACTGAGTTACCTGCGCAAGCAATGGGGAGACACAATAGAGGGGTGATGGGACCCTTGTCCCAGAGCTACGGAGGCCTGGGACGGGTGTGGAAGGGAGGTCTGTGTGTGGATTCTGACATCTGTGGTCTCAGGTTGGAGGAGGGCAGGGGGGGCAGGGGCAAGTGGGCTGCTGCAAGGCAAGAGGGAATGGAGGGGACTGGGCTGGGTGGTCACTGACATTGCGTGGGGGCCACCGGCTCACCTTTGCTTGGTGCTCTATCTTGTAGGCGGTTTGCTGGAACTGGCGGATCTCCCGGATGATGTGGGATATCTGAGGGAGGGAAGAGTTGGGAGGCCTGTAGGAGCTGGGTTGCTTTCTCAGCACCATTAGGCACCTGTGGAACTCCGACAGCTTTTGAGATGCTAGCGGACTGCGTAGGCTGGGCGATGGAGACAGAATATTGTCCTCAAGCAGGACACAAGCTCTTCAACCTCGTGGAAGCCAGCACTGGCCACAGCAAGGACCACTGCCCTCCACCCTCTGCCTGGCATGATTGAAAAGTGTCTCACCTGTTGCCAATCTCCTTTTTTGTTTATGTGAGTGGAAGCCCAGTTTACAACATGGGTGAGGAAATCCTGCCTCCTCGTCCCCCACCCTTCCTTCCAGGTTCTAGATTTTTCTGGTATGGAGGCACAGCAGCCCCGATTCTGGCTCCAGGGAACAAGTGTTTTTCCACGAACACTAGCATATGGGGATGTTCATAAAGGCCTATGTTTTAGGGTCACTCAAGTCTGGAGTTGTTCTGCCCTTGATGGGATCCAAGCTTGGGTGCCCAGCTGGGGTGCCCTCAGGGAGCTGCAGCTTGAGGGAGCTGAGCCTGTGTCTTGAAGCCCCTGCTCTCCGCCACCGGCCACTCCCCTACACTCCCGGGTGGGAAACGCACCATTCTCATCTTGGAGAAGTTGACCAAGCCGTCTTCCGTGTAATTGGGCGTCCCCTCCTCGATGAAGGCCAGGTCGGTGAGGTACATCCCCAGGTAGGGGACACAGGGCGGGTCACAACTTGGAAGCAAATGATGTTCATGAGCTTAGGGACAGGATGATAGCACACCCCCCTCCCGCACACAGCTTTGCCAGAGCCCACCGTGCACTCGCAGGCCTGGGATAGTTAGGTGCCAGTGAGGGTTGTGGGCTGTGGGCTGATCGGGTGGTAAGGACACCTGCTGAGGCTGGGGCACCTCACTGTCCTCACCTTCCAGGAGCCAGAAGGTCCTTTCAACCTGTCTGCCGGCAGCCCCTCTGTCGCCAGGCAGCCCCTTCCAACTCATCCATCCTCTCATCTCAGTGAGCTCTCCATCCTGCTCCTACCCTTGAGTGACCCACCAGAGGCCCCTGAAGGTCTGCCCCCAACTCCTGCAGCTACCTCCCCCACGTCCTTCCATGAGGCTGGGGAAGGCACAGCAGAAGACCCCCTTGTCAGGAAGTAGCTCCTGGGAAGAGGCAGAGGTTAGATGGGCCACAGTTTCCATGACTGGGGTCTTGAGGAGTGGCATTTCTGAGAGTCAGGACCCAGAACTGAAGGTGCCAAATCCGGCTGGTGCGTGCCAGGGCCCTGGGTGGCAGCAGGGCTATGGGTGGGGCTGATGGAGACTCACCTAGAGCCCAGTGGCTGGGGCTGCCTTAGCTTGCTTGGGCGGACTCCTCTGTAGCCCCCAGCCTGGTATACAGAGCAGGGGGAGTGTACTGGGCAGGTGTCCCTCTCTTCTACCCATCTCACCTGGCTCCTTGGGGACACCCCGGGGGAGGGGGAGACAGGGAGGATGGCATAGTAAGAACAGAAGCCCCTAGCTGTGTTTCCTGCCTGAGTGTCGTGTGATCCTGGGCTGGCTCTCCTCCCTGGTCCTCAGCGTCTGACAGCACTGACGAACACTGGTGGCCTGAGAGTGGCTTGGTGGTGCATGGACAACACCCCATTGATTTGGGGTGAGCAGGGGGATGCAGTGATGCTGGCATCCTGTGTTAGGGAGCTGGCCTGATCAAGCTCCCTGCTAATGCCCCTGCAAGAAGCTCCTGGTTTTGCCTTGGCCCATCCCTGGCTGTTGTGGTTATCCGGGGAGGTGAACCAGCAGATGCAGGATCTCTCTCTCTCTGTCTCCCTTTCTCTCTGTGTAACATTTACAAATAAATAACTTTTATATTAAAAAAAAGTCTGTGGAAGTAAAAGATAAGCTTACTTTGGTACCCCCCCAAAAATGTCAAAAGCCATGCCTCCAAAAGGCATTCCAAGGGATCATGGGAAACATGTCAAAGAAAAAGCAGGCATGAATCACATGCCTTTTCACCAAAATAAACTTTCTTTTTTATCTTGTTTCCTTATATGCTTTTTGAAGTTCTTTCATACGTAATTATTATTAAAACTTTTTCACTGTGAGTTATATATCTCAGGAGCTGGTGTTGTGGCTTAATCGGTTCAGTCATCACTTGCGATACCAGCTTCCCTTGTTGGAACCAGGACAAAGAAGCCTCAAATGGAAGAAAAAAAAGAAAAAGATGACAGGACTAAATCATTTACTTATCAACAATAGCCTGGGATGCAAATGGGCTACATTATCCAAGGCAAAGACAGACTGGGGCCGGGGCTGTGATGCAGAGGAGGCACCTGCGCCCACCATCAGGATGCTTGGGACCGTCTGGCTGCTCTACTCCTGATCCAGCTCCCTGGGAAGGCAGGTCCCTGTCACCGATACGAGAGACCCTGATGAGGTTCCTGACTCTCATATTTGGCCTGGCCCAGGGCTGGTCATTGGGGCCATTTGGGGAGGGAACCAGTAGATGCAAGATCTGTCTCTTTATTTTCTCACCTTGCCTTTCAAATAAATAAATAAATAAAGCTTAAAAAAAAAAAAAAGCTTCAGTGTTGAGTGTGGTTGAGTGTGGAGGGCCTGGCTATATTTTTTCACTTGGACACCAACTGACATTAGGCTTTCCTGGGGGGCCACAGCAGCTGTCTGGGGTCACACCGGGTCCCCGTGCTACATGAAAGCCTGTGTTCCGGCTCCCTTGAAAGGAAGTACTTCCTATTTATATATAAGACACCGGGCTGGGCTGGGCCTAGAGGGTGGCCAGAACTTGCACAGCACTAACAGCAGAGGCCACACGCCGCCACCAGAGTTTGTTCTCAGTCAAGGCCATGTGGCCTGCACCTGTGTTCTGACCAGTTGGAGGCTGAGATGAGGGGATGGCCCAGTGGCCTTCACCACAAGATATGCCTTTGGGGGTGAAGGAGAGAGTCGGTCACTCTCAGGGTACGCATGGCTAGGGTTGTGAAGGTGTTTAAGAGAGAGGCTGGGATATGGGGCTGCAGCCATAGCTGGTTCAAGTCTGTGACTCTCTCCTCCAGCTTGGCACAGTGGAGCTGTTTGAGTGACAGGTTCAGAATGATGCCTGGGACATGGGAATGGGGCTGAAGAACTATAAAAAAAGCCCAAAATCTCATGGCCAGGTGGACTTCAAATGTTGATGACACTGAAATTGTTGTATAGCTGTTTACACTCTGCATTTCCCAGGAACTTTGGAGAGACCCTGCCCCCCATCAGGGACTCCTGCTTTGCTCACACAGCCCCTCACCTCTTTTGCGAACACTGGCCCTGCCCGTGGCAACACAGACCCCTGCTGTCCACACCGCACGGCTCCAAGGGCACACTCTCAGAGTCCCAGTGTCCCCTCCTTGTCCAGCTGGGCCTTCCCTGTGTTTCCTGGTTTGCACAAAGAGCTGAGCTCCCAGAGAACGCTGGGAAGAATCCAGCTGGGGTCCCTGTGTGTCGGGGTGGGTCCCTGTGCGTCGGGGTGGGGGTGGGCAGAGGATGGGGAAGAGGCACTTACACGGGCCTCCAGGTACCCTGAGGGGGGCAGACAGTCAGGACGGGGACCCTGAGACAGAATGGGGGGCCACGCAGGCGGCGGCGGACGAGGAAGCCATGTGAAGGAGGCGGATGGAGCGGCGCCCGCGGGCGGACGGAGACAGGTTGGTGAATGCGCGGTGGGGCCGCACGGGGGGCTCCGGGGAGCCCGGGCGGAAGAGAGACGGCCGGACAGCACAGATGGGTGGGGCGTCTGTCTGAGGACACAAACAAAGTGGAGATGGTCAAGGCGATGGCACACGGAGCCGGTGGAGGACAGGCGGAGGAAACAGGGAGGACACAAGGCGAGGAGGCACAGCTGGGCAGGGGTGGGAGAGGGGAAGAGGTGGTGACCGGTGACCCCGTTGACCCCTCGCTTCATGGGCTGCCCAGGCCCGGAGAGGTAGGAGCACCCTGGGCAACGCACAGAGAGCCAAGGTGACTGAAGGGAGCCAGGGGAGGGATGCCTGGCTTCCAGGGGTGTGTGGCTCTGGTGGGGGCACACAGGCCCGAGCCATTGTGACCTTCGAGGGGAAGGGGCAAGGGGCTCCTCAGGGCCCTGGCTGTGGCCCATCTCTGGCACTGCAGGGTGGGGTGGATTTGCTTCTCTCCACCTCCCTGCCCCAGGAAACAGTTGGTAATGTCTGGGCATCACCTTGGCTGTCCCAGCTGGAAGGGCATCTTTGGGATTCCCTGAGCCCAGGCCAGGGTGATGCACATTTTACTACGCCCAGGACCGCCCTCACTACTCCCTTCCACTCTGCTCCTAAATACAAGGATACGGGCTTCTTTGTAGGGCTGTCCTGCTAGGGGAACATCTGGCAGGTGCTGGGAGGACACATTTGGCTGCGTGTCTCTGATTCCAAGATTGGGGATGGGGTGGGGGGTGGCTGAAGGTACAGGTTTTGGAGGTCTGAGTTGCAAGAGAAAATGGGAACCTAATGGCAGGAAACCAATCCGTTGCCCTAAAGACACGCCAGGGATCTTGGGAAATGCTTGCAGAACCTGAATCTCTCGGGCCTCACCTTTGGGGGGTGGGGAGGTCTAGGGATCTGGTGGTAGACAGACAGAGGGACAGACAGATGGACAAACAGGCCTCCTGCTGTGGCCGGGGGGTAGTGGGCGAACACCTCTGCCATGCAGAGCTGCAGTATTTTTGTGAGAACAGTGATGAAATGACACGTGCACTTACTTTTTCAGAGCTTCTCTGAGATTCTTAAATCGGCCCTCAGATGACACAAGCTTTTGGAGCTTGTCAATCAAAGCTTTTGTCTAGAAGGAATTAGAAGGTTTGTTTACTCACATGTGGCTCGCTCGTGGCTTGGCCCATGCCGGCCCTGCAGGGTATCGCCAGAACTACATGCACTTAGAATCTAGGGGGTCAGGAGGTTGGGTCTAGAGGTCTGGGAACTGTACCCCCCAAACCTTTCAAGAGGCAGATCTGGGTCCCTGCCCTGTGTGCTGAGGTTCATGCACACACCTCTCAGAAATGTGGGTGTGGGCAAGTAGGGTCCCTGCCATGTGAGGGGCTTCGGGGACCCCACTGGTATAGAGGGATTGGGGCCCATTCCCACAAAAGGAGTGAGCCTGGGCAGACAGGAAGAAGCCCCTGTGGCCAAGGCATTTTGCCAAACAAGTGTTCCAGGCCCAGCGCCCGATATTCAAGGTCTGGAACATACAGCAGCCGGGGTCACCCGGACCCTGCTTTCCCTGCACGGTCCTGGGGTCCTTGTCCCCTCCCTCCCAAGCCATGACACAGCCAACTTTGCTCTTCAAAATCTGCACCGGGACTGATGGTCACTGTGGTGCCTGGCTGGCCCACGGTGGTGACCAACCAGGGGCCAGGCCCACGCCTACTCTTGGGGTTAGCCACAGAGAGCAGCTAAGCTAATCCCCCACCCAATGGAGGCAGTTTGCCCTTCTAGGCTCACCACTCTCTTCTGGGTTTGGGTCAGACAGGTGCAGGCCTGGTGCATGCCACACCGAGTGTATTCTGCTCACACACACAGTGCCCAAGGAACTCCACATACCCAGGCCTTGACTCCCTCGTAGTGCCACCTGACACTTGTTCTCCTACCCCCTTTAGAAGAACAACCTGGAGATCCGTCCCACCCTGGGCTCCGTCACCCACTCTGGGTGTGCCCACGGGCAAATCACCATTCCCCTTGCCTTGCCTCCTCCATCTGGGAGATGGCAAAATAGTTCCTGGTGCTCCCCAAGGGCAGTCAATCCCAGTTCAGGTAGGTGCCCTGGAATGTTGGGAGATGCATAAACCAGGTCAGGAGGCCCGGCTGGTCACACGGCTCTGGGTGATGAAGTGGCACTGGGTACAGAGGGCACAGCTGTGTCCAGGACCAGAGTCATGGTGTGTTGTGTTAAGTTTTCACCTGTTAGGGGTGGGCAGCATCCTGTATGGACTGCTGATTCAAGTCCTGGCTGCTCTGATTCTCATCTGGCTCCCTAATGTTGTGCCTGGGAAAGCAGTGGAGCATGACCCAAGTGCTTGCGTCCTTTCATCCATATGGGAGACCCAAAGAAGTTCCTGGCTCTTGGCTTCAGATCGGCCAAGCTCGGGGCGTTGTGACCATTTGGGGAGTGAACCAGTGGATGGAAGGCCTCTCTCCCTCTTTTCCCCTTTCTCTCTATGTAACTCTGGATTTCGAATAAAAATAAAATAAATCTTAAAAAATAAAAGAGCATCCAAAGGAGTCTCTGACCCGGGCTTCCTCTGTACACGGCTCTGAGCTGGGCACACCTCTGCACACACCTCCATTTCTTCCGTGTCTCTGTGCTTGCTGTGGACCTGCTCCTTTCTGAGTTGACTCACTCTACCTCATTTGGCCTGTTCCCAATTTGAAGCAGCCTGTTTCTTCTGGCTGGATCAGGAGTGTCCCTCCTTGGGACCCCAGGCTCCAGGGCTGATGGATGTTTCTGCCAAGGATAGACCCCACTGGGTGGTAGAAACGCCACCAGTCAGGGCCTGGCAGGAAGCCCACCATGGGGATGGTGTCAGAAAGCAGGTGGATCTCGGGGCTCACCCAGCAGAAGCCTCCTCCTTGGCCGAGAATGTACCCCCTCCAAAAGGGGCCAAAGCACACTGTTAGCCAGAGTGGCTCCCCAGGCCTTGTGTCCCTGGGAGAGGTGACTCCAGACTACCACTTGCTCACTCGTGTGAAGTGAATGGGGGAGAGGAATTAAAAGAAGAAAGGGGGAAATGGCAAGTCTCAAGCCTAATATAACCACTGAACTCTTTCTGAGACCTGGGCTGGACTTGGACATGGCATTCAGGGTTGAGGTGGGGGAGAGGTGTCCAGTCTGCCAGAGGCACCTTGGGTTTCTGGACCAGGTTAGGGTAGCCCCAGGTCCTGCTGCCTGGCCTCTTGAAGGGCTGTAGGCTGGGTCACATGCCCTGACTGCTAACTGCCCTAGGAAACAGGGTGGGAGCCTAGACCTGCCTGCAGGGGCTCTGACCAAGATGGTGTCATGCTGGTAAAGTCAGGTCTATGGCAGAACCCCAGGCTCTACCAACAGCCCTGCCTGGACTTTCAAGGGGCCAAACCAGCCCTTATGACCTAGAGGCTCCTCGGGGCCTAGCTTCCCTGGACCCGAGCTTCCTGTGGCCAGATGAGCCTGGTTCTGTTCTTTACTAGAATCCACGAAAGTGACAGGAGTGGCATCTCAGTGGGCCATGAAGCAAGTGGCCCAGTCTCCCGGGAGAGCCAGGGGGCATCCCTGCTCAGTGTGCATTCCTGCCAAGCAGGGGCTGCAGCACGAAACAAAGTTGGCAGAGATGTCACAGGGATGTCCCGAGTTTGCTCCTCTGAGGAGGGAAGGCTGTGCTGCTCTGCTGCCTGCCGGCTGGCCGGGACCATGACCTGCCCTTAGTATGAGGAGAAAGTTGATTGAGGAGCAGGTGACCCAGCAAGCAGGGAGGGGGCACAGTCTGCAGGTGCGGAGTGGAAGCAGTGGGACTCCAGGGCACCTCACCATGGGTGCATGGTGGAGCCGGCTCAGCCTCCCACACACACCCTGGCTGGGATGGGACAGCCACATGGCAGCAGGGAAGTGGCTGGAGAGCCTCCTGTGTGCTCCTTTGTGGAGAGGTGACACCACCAGCACAGGGAACCTTATTCCTGGGGGAGGCATCACTTTGTGTGTCTGTGTTTTCAGAATCACATGCTGGAATACATAAAACCAAGCCCATACTTAAGGAATCAAGTATCTCTGTAGTGACCAGACTGGTCTGGGAAAGGGGGAAGGAACCCAGGATGGGGACTTGTGGGGTCATCTGACCACCATCTCAGGGGATCCCCAGAAAGTCACCTTCTGTCCCCACCCAAGCAGGAGGGCACTGTATTGGACAACTGCTGCCTCCCCCTGCCCACTCCTGGCTGTCGGTCACTCAAGTGGGAGCCGATGACTTGCAGGCTCCAGGTGCATGCCCCTGGCCCCAGTCTAACCCCAGCTGGCGGCAGCAGGAGCAGCAGCCTCACTGGCCTCCCGCCCCGCACCTGCTTGGAGACCTTGAGCCACGTCTTCTTGAGGCGGAAGATGGCGCTGCGGTTCATGGAGGAGGTGATCTCCAGCACGGCATTGTAGTTGTGCAGGCAGCGGCAGATGTCGGCCACGGCCACCCACTTCTCGATGGTGCTCACCCGGGCGTTGATGTCCTCGTTGCGGATGATCTCTGAGGCAATCAGGTTACTGATCTTTGAGCCCACGAAATGAGACAGGAAGGGTGTCAGAGCAGCACGCATGGTCAGGATGAGAGGGTGGACGGATGACTTAGAAATGACTAGTACAAATAATAGAGCTCATGAGGGTAGCTGGGTCAAGACTCGATATGCAGAAATGGCATGGAGGCCAGGCTCTGCTGCTTCCCTCAGCACGTGAGCAGGGCGCTGGATCAAGAAGTGGAACAGCTGGGACTGGAACCAGTATCCATAAGAGATGCTGGTGCTGCAGGTGGCAATTTTACCTGCTATGCTCCAGGACTGTCCGCATCCCATACTGGAGCGGTGGTTCAAGTTCAGTTAATCTGCTTCCTATCCAGCTCCCTGTTAATGCTTCTGGGAAAGTATCAGAAGATGGCTTAAGAACTTGGGCCCCTGTACCCATGTGGGAGACCTGGATGAAACTCCTGTTGGTTTGGCGTGACCCAGTCCTGGCCATGGTGGCCATTTTGGGATAGAACCTAGTGGATGGAAGATCTCTCTCCTTCTTTTTCTTTGACTCCATCAAAATGAATGAATAAATGAATGAATGAATAAACAAATAAATAAGTCTTTAAGAAAAGTAAGAAGAATGAGTTACAACACTATAAAGTGTGGAAAACCACTTAAGAACCAGCATGGAGTAATATTGTTGCATGCTACACCTCTAACACTAAGATTTTCTTTCCTTTTTTTTTAGTTAAGAAAATGCTAAATTCCATTAGTTTTATATGAAAGTTACACTGGTATTAAAAAAATTTTTTTTTTTGGTCTGCTTGAAAAGCAGAGAGAGAGAGAGAGAGAGAGAGAGAGGGAGGAGAGAGAATGAACCCAACCACTGGTTGGGTTTTTTAAAAACCCACCACAGCCAGGGCTGGCCAGGTTGAAGTTATGAGCCCAGGACTCCACGTGGGTCGCCCCCATGGGAGGCAGGGCCCAAGGACCATTATCAGGAGCTGGGACTGGAACTGGCCTTATGATACGGGATGGGGCTGCCCAAGCAGGTGCTTCGCCTGGTGTGCCATGACACCTTCTTGGCGCCAATCTTGTGAAAAGAACAGATCTGTCAAGTCTTCCAGAGAAGCCAGCAGAAGGAGTGGCTTGGTCATTTGTTCTATGAAGCCAGTAACACTGGAGATGGATACCACAATGTACAAAACTCCTGCATCCACCTGTGTGAATTATCAGGACATTATCCCTGGAAGGCAGAGATGGTTTGCCTTTTAGAAAAAAATGACACGTTGCCTGTCACTTACACCTGTGTAAACTATGCGAGAGAAACCACATGACCCTTTTAACGACTTAGCATCACTTGACAAAACTCAGACATTGGTCTGAAAAGCCATTCGCATACAAGGATGTGTTCACTTGATAAGGAAACAATCATCTTAAGTGGGAAAATGCTAGCATTCCCTTAAAACTCAAGAGCCAGACCTGCCATTTCTGCCACCTCTGTGCCACACCATCTTGAAGAAGCTGGCACTAGGGCAGGGAAAGGCTGGTAATGGGTGTAAGAACCAGAGTGAGCTGGCACTTTGCTTGCCTCATATGAGCTCTGGACCTGGAGACCCAAGTCAGTGCCAGCCAGCAGGACAAGGCTACGGCCCTTGAACTGAGCCAAGGAGGGGGTGGGTGTCTGACACAGCAGGTGAAACGTTGCTTGAGCTGCCAGCATCCCATAGCAGAATGCCTGGGTTCGAGTCCTGGCTCTGTTCCCAACTCCAGCTTCCTGCCAGAGCACACTCCCGAGGCAGCAGGTGACAGCTTATGTGGCTGACCTAGCTGGAGTCGCAGGCTTGGGGCATCAGCCTGGGCCTGTACTGGCTGTGGTAGGTATTTGCGGGGGGAGAGTGAATGGAAGATCTCTATTTCTCTGCCTTTGAAGTTAAATTTTAAAAAGAGTTAATGAAGCCAGGAAGAGATGCAGAAGCATGGCTTTAGGCCATGGTGATCCAATCATAGAAGCTAGTGGTCTGGGTGCCTTGACCCCACAGCAGCAGCCTCTGAGGCCCAGCTGTGTGGGTTCAAAGGCAGACTGGTGCTGTGTGATGTGGGCTTGAGTCACAGAGATGGCTTCTGGGAGCCTTGATTTCTCTCCTCATGAAACGGGGCAAACAGAAGGAAGGAAGCTGCTGCTTACAAAACCCCGGGCACACTGCCCAGTAAGCGGTCACCCCTGGATGCTCACTTCTGGTCCTGACTCCCCTCACTCCATCTCACCACACAGAGAAGGCCAGGGCCAGTTCCAGACAGCACACAGCCACTTGGTGCTTGGTCCACTTGCTTGGACCATTCTCATGTCCTCCAGGCTGCCAGGGCCCCCCAAGATGGATTGGGTTTGTCAGAGCAGTCAGGACAAGTGGAGTCCTCCACTCCCGCCCCCGTCTGCCCAGGCTCTTGGCGGGTGTTGATGATTAACCTTGAAGAGGACCAGGCCAAGTGTGAGCGGGGGCAGGGTTGTCACGAGGCTGAGAGTCCAAGGCTCCTGTGGTTGCCTGGGCGGATGTGGGGAAGCTGCAGGAGCTGGGTCTCCCCCTACATGGCTCTTGTGCACCAGGCAGCCAGGGCAGGCAGCACCTGCTGTGTGCACATGTCATCTGGTCTCAGCAGATGTGAGAACCTGTGCTTCTCTATGTGTCCACAAGAAGGACTCCTGGTCCAGGGTTGGGCCCCTGCTCATCTCTTCCCCAGGCAGTGCCCTGGAGCTCTGGGGCCTCTGATGTCTGTAATGTGGGGTCACCGCACCTGTTATGAGAGGCGGAAGTGTCTGGATGTTGCATCCTGGGCAATTGAAACATTCAGCCAAACTTTCAGGAAGCTTCAAGTGTTTAAAGAAAATGTATGAGGGCACTTTAAATAGTTATGGGAAATGGAAACAAAAGATAAGGCTGGAGGCAGGTGTGTTTAGCTCAGTGGCTAAGACTCCGGTTAAGATATCCTAGTGGCATGGCTTGAGTTTGGTCTTCGGCTCATGTGCATCCCAGGAAAGAGATGACGTCCCGGGAATTGGGGTGCTGGCTGGCACACAGCCTGGAGCTTCCTGTCTATCTCTCAACTAAACGGTAATAGTAAAGATTATTTCACTGTGGCGCCAAAACAGCTTTGGAATCTGTGTGCAGTTTATTATTATTATTATTATTATTTTGTTCCATAATGGGCATTTCCCACAAGCTTGCTGCAGCATCCTTATACATATCAGAGAAAAGCTGGGTGTGATGTTCCAACCAAACAAGACTTGTTTCTCAGGCCTTGGGGAAGTCATGAAATAAGATGCCTGGCAAGGAGGCCTCTGTCCCCTTCGCCCTGGTCCTTTATCCCTCTCCATTACTCTGCTGGGTGGGGAGTGAGGGGGTGCTGAGGGCTTGCCCTGAGCTGTTGCTGGCTCGAGATTTGCTGGGTGATTGTCCTTGTCCGCTCTCGTGGGACCCTTCAAGGCACAGTCCCTTGGACAGGAGGAGCTCTGTACTCAAGGTGAAGCTCTCAGCCCCTGGCTACGCGGCCATGGCCCACCCTGTCCGCAGCCACACACGGAGGCGCTGCCCACCCTGTACTCACATCATTGAAGTGCTTTGTGGTTTTCATAATGTAAGGGGTCCTCTCATTCTTCTCCAGTTTCATCCAGCCTTGGCCGAAGAACTCCCTATGGGTGATAACCAGACAGGGTGAGGTGAGAGTTGCTGGTTTCATGGCGTCATTGCTTCTTCATCTTTCTGGGGCTCCCAGGGGAGGAACCCTGGGTCCCAGTCTGGCTCTGTCTTGTAGCTGCTATGTGGGTTCACAGTGTGGGGCCTCAGTCTCCCTACTGTGAAATAGGAACGGTGCTCTGCTCAGGGGGTTATGGTGTGTCTGGCGTGAGGGAAGGTGCATTACCCACTATGAGGCATGGTGGGTGCTCTGCATCGTCCTGGCTGTGGCTGGGAGGGGGTGTAAGTGGACTCCCCAAAGGCTCACGTGTTGGAAGCTTGGTCTCTGATGTGGTGGTGGGATCTTTAAGAGGAGGAGCTAGTGGGAGGTGATGATGTCATTGGAGTAGGGCCCCTAGAAAGACTTGATGCAGCTGTCCCTGGTCCCTGGTCAGTTCCTGTGACTGCAGGTTGTGATCAGACAGCGAGCCTGGCCCCCTTCCTGATTGTCCCAGCTTTCTGCCTCACTGTGGCATCATCCCTCTCGCATGTGGTTCCAGCACGCTGCCCAGGGCCACAAGGCCCAGACAGGGGCTACAGGAACAGTCTGTCTTGGTTGGTCTCGTGGCCCCACATGTTTTAGCACAGCGACAGCCACTGGCTGAGACGGTCCTGATTCCTGCTGAGGGAAACCCAGATCTCAGTCTCCCCACAGCAGGGGGTGGGACAGTGGTGAGGAGGCCTCACCAGGAGTTGGAGAAACAGAAGTTGCCTGCAGGCTACACAAGCAGCGAGCTCTGGGAACTGGGACAGGTTGTGGGAAGGCCCTGACAGGGTTTGCCCAGGCTTCAGACCAGCAGCAGGGGGAGGAAGTGAGCGAATGCCCCCTCACCCCCTTGTACCCCAGCAGCACTGGGTGCTGTGCAGATCGCCAGCCTCCCCTAGGAGTTGGGGAGGGCTTCGCAGGTGCCAGGCGGGAGTGTCTCGCAAGAGGGCAGAAGCCAAACACACAGCAGTGAATCACAGCTGCCTTCCCCTTGCACCCTCCCCCATCTGCTGGCTCCAATTCTGGGGCATTCTGCAGGCATATTTGTTTGCAAACATGTTTATCTCCACTTTACAAACCAGAGTGAAAGCTGCATGCCAGCATCTTCAGAGCTTAGGAACAAACACTCCTGTTAGATGGAGAAGGAGGGATGCAAGATTACTGAGTCATGTGATTAGGACGAGCAGGGGTGGGGTGACCAGTTCTGGGCCAGAGTGAGCAACATCAGGCCTGGGCAGTCTTCAAACTCCCAAGCTGTCTCCATAGCCTGCGCCTGCACACATATGTTGTAAGCAGTCCTGCTGCCTACTGCCCACCCCCCAAGGATGGGCAGAGGAGAGCGTGGAGTCCTGCGCCACTCACTCATAAGGAATCTTCTTGAAGACCAGGTGGTCCAGCAGGGTCAGCTGCTCCGCGATCTCCAGGGCTGAGTGATTTTCAAAGGGCTCAGCTTTCACGCCTTCAGCCTGCGGGAGCAAGGGCTGTTGTCAGGCCCACAGGGTTGCCACTTTGCTGAGGGTGCCTCTGCCCTGGCGAGTGAGTGGGTGGGTGGAAGGAGGGTATGGGAGGAGCTGGACCCCACTGCTTGCCAAGCTCTGCACTGCACAGGTCTATGAGCAGGCCTCTGTGTGTGCACGTGAATTTGTGCAGAACTGCGCGTGTGTGTATGCGTAGGTCTGTGTGTGCGTATAGGCCTGTGTGTGGGTCCAGGCTGTGTGTGTGTGTGTGTGTGCGCAGGTCTCCGTGTGTGTGTGTGTGTGTGTAGGCCTGCGTGTGTGTAGGTCTGTGTGTATGTCCTGTGTGTTAGGACTGTCATATATTCTTGCGCGGACCTGGCTTACCTGCAGGCTGCCATCACCGCAGTCTGTGAAGGAGACAATGGAAGCTTCCAGAAGCAAAAGTCTGGACTGTACTGTTCAGCTGTATATGGCTCACAGGGCATGGCATGGGTGCCCCAGCTCCCGGGCTGTGGCTCCCCTCAGTGTCACCTGAGTCTCTCATGGGCTCAGTGCCACTCCCTTCACACACTTGGAGCAGCTGTGGACACCCAGGTGTCAATGCGCCTGGAGCCATGTCCCCGTCCTGTGCCCAGAGTCTGCTGCCTGCTCCAAGGCTGGGGACCTTGACCCTGGTTCCAAAGCTCCTGCAGCAGAAAGCACGTGAGTGGTGTCTGCCTCCTGGGCCAGGGGACAAACCCAGGAAACAGCAGCAGGGCCTGGAGGACAGGAGGGCAGTGCTGGCTTTCCTGGGCACAGAGGCCATGCTGGGAGGGTCTTGGGTGATCTCCACATCTACAGAGGACTGGGTCAGGAATAGGGTCACTGGAGGCTGACCAGGCCATGCAGGGGAGCAGTTCTGGTCACTTGGGCTTTGATTGGCAGCGCCCAGTGCCCCGAAGCAGCCCATGGCTGTGGTCTATAAGGGAAGAGACATCCACCTGGAGCAGAGAGCCCCCTTCTCTGGCCAAGACCCTCCTTATTCCCTCCTATTCCTTGGTGAGCAGGCAATGACCACATCTGCCTGGTCAGACCCTGGCTGGATGCTGGTGATTAGGGAGTCAGATTCATGGCCTGTGTGTGTGTGTTGTCAGAGGGTGGGGGTAAGGGTGGGAGGTGGGGAGTCCTGCGTGTTCCTTGAATCATACAGGGTGGGGGCCAACGTGGGGAGAAGCACAAAGCCTTCAGGGGTGGGGGATTTGGAGGACTGGGGGCTGAGGCTTGCCACTGTGTGCTCACAGGGTTACTGGCTCCGGTTTCAGGAGCAGCTCAGTCAGGGAACACTGAGTCCCAGGCTGTTTCAGGGGAGCCAGGGGCCCCTGATGGGCAATGGGAGCCAGAGGAGGGCCCTCCTGTAGCAGAGTAGGGGAGGAGATTAGCATTCTGCCAGCCTCCTCCCCTCCACCAGGCTGGCAGTCATGGCTGGTGTTGCACTACCCCCAATTCCAGTCCTCTGCCTTCAGAGGCGTGATGGTGTGTCCCAGCCATGCTCCAGGCCAGCAGACTCCTGATTGAGGAAGCTGGAGGCAGGGGTGGGAGAAGTGGGGAGCAGAGGGCCATGCCAGAGGCAGCTGTGCTTGTAGCGGCTGAAGATGGGTCAGTGGCAGCCCTCAAGGGGCCAGCAGGGCTGCCCTTACCACTTCTCTGCTCTCCAGTGGGGCCGTGTGTGAGAGAGAAGCAGGGACCTGGGGGGTCCTGAGGTCCGCACTGAGGGTGTTGTAAAAGGAGGTGTTGGTGTCTCCTGGTGGAGTTGTGTCCCCCAGATGACCCTTTGGGCAGGAAACACCAACTCGTGATCTTGTAGATGTGTTCAATTCAGATGGAAGTACCGATAAGGGTGGGGGGGTGGACAGGTGGATTCACCTGCTGTGCGATCTCCTCCAGCGTGATCTGGCTGTCCCCTGGGTCCTCCTGGGTCAGGGTCCTGGGGAGGAACAGGCGGGTGAGGCCCCGCCTCCCTCCCGGGCAGCCACGCCTCCTTCTCGGGCAGCCACGCCTCCCTCCCAGACAGCCCCGCCTCCCTCATGGGCAGCCACGCCTCCTTCCCGGGCAGCCACGCCTCCTTCCCGGACAGCCACGCCTCCCTCCCGGACAGCCACGCCCCACACCTGTGCCCTGCCTGGATGTACCAGCCCCTTCTTAACTTCTCCCCATGCTGCATGAGTGAGGTGCCTACAGCAGCAGGGCGGGGCCTCGTAGACAGGGATTCCCCAGGCCCGGGGAGGATGGCAAGCAGGTAAGGAAGGGGACAGCTGAGCTGAGAGGGGCCCGGCAGAGGTGAGAAAGGCAAGTGGACCGTCAAGGTCAGGCAGATGGTCCGAGTCAAGGGCCACAATCATGATGGATGGAGACCTGGCGGGGCATCACGCTCTGCAGGGCTTGGGCTGGAGGCAGTGGCATCCTGGCCGGGCATCATCAGGCATGACTTGAAAAAGTTCATGGAAAATGAGAATACGTTTATTATAAATCCATGAACATGAAGGACTTCCCCAAAGTTTCATGAAACTGTGAGAGTCACGGGCCTGGTCTTGACCTTGCTGTGTGTCAAATCACTGGTGAAGATACCCACATCTCATATGGGAAGGTCAGGGTTTGAGTCCAGGCTCTGCTCCCAAGCCAGCTTCCCACTCATGTGCACCCTGGGAGGCAGCGGGTGGTGGCTCAAGTCCTTTGGGCTCCTGCCACCCACATGGGAGATGCAGACAGAGCTCCGGGCTCCTGGCCTCGACCTGTTCCAGCCCTGGCTGTTGCAGAAATGTGGGGAGTGAATTAATGAGTGAAAGACACTTTTCATCTCTCTTTCCACCTTTGAAAATAAAATAAAAATGGCATTTCCCCCCCTGTGTATACATTGTTCCTAAACTTTCTGAAGTCCATGGAGCTGCAGGTACCAGGTGTAGTGTTGCCTCTCGGGCCGCGCGGGCTGCCCACAGCTGGCTCTGCCCGTACCTGATGATGTTGGCTGCCGCCTTCCGCTCCTGGGTCAGCAGCTCTGGGTCGTGCATCACCTCTTCCAGGAAGCTGATCACCTTGCACTTGAGCTCCTCATTGGTCTCAAAGTCCTGCCAGGGAGGTGGGATGGGCGCATCTGGCTACTGCTCTGCAGAGGTCTCTGCCCACGCTTGCCTCATTCACTTTCTACTGGCTGCCCGGCTGGGCACAGTGGGACTTCGAAACTTAAGAGGCAGGGGACATTGGCAAGGGGGAGGGCAAAATCAAGGGTGAGCCATTGGCCTGCTGCACCCACAGGTCTACCTGCGGTTCCTGCTGCAGACGGAGGTGCCTGGTCTCTGTGTGTTCCTGACATCCCCCAATGGGTGGCTTTGGGGTTCTCCCCCGATCCTGCTGGGACGGCTGTTGGTTTCTGGGGACTGTGCCCACCCGTCTCCAGGAACCACCGGCCCAGGCGGCTTGGGGGAGCTCCTACCTGCGAGTGCTTGGAGACCCAGTGTCGCAGCACATTCAGGACGCGGTTGGTGGCTGCCCTTCGGATCACAAACTCCTTGTCTCCATTCCTCTGGTCAGGAGGAAAGCCTGGTGGGAGGCATGGCAGAGGGGACAGGGGCCCTGAGATGGCTCTTCAGGGCTTCTGGGCCATGGGGTGAGAGGTGGGGCTGACCGGGATTTTTTTTTTCCAAATTCAAGAGACAGATTTGCTCTGGTTTACTCTCCAAATGCCTGTGGCAGCTGCAGTGGGGCCCAGACTGAAGCTAGGAGCTGGGAATTCCATCCGGGTCTCCCATGGGACTGAGCCATCATCACCTGCTGCCTTCCGGGGTGTGCATCAGCAGGAAGGTGGAGTCATAAGCAGAACCGATGCCAAACTCCACCTTGAGAACATGCCACAAGCAAGCTCAGGGCCCCAGGATGGAGGTCGTGACTTCGCAGGCAGCACAGCCCACAAGTACTGGACTCGTGGTAGACTTTGTTGTCTCCAAGAGGCTGCTGGGAGACCCGCACGGGGCCACTGGCCCCTCTGCTGCAGGCCTCCCCCTGTGAGTGGAGCGGACCAAGTGGTGAAGGACAATGGAGCTGCAAGGGAGGCTACAGGTCAGCCTGAGCCCCTGGGGCTCCAGATGTAGGGGGACAGTACCTAGGTTCAGCCCAGAAGGGGTGCCAAGAAAGGAGCTATGACCCAGCACCCAGTATGCTAGAATGGACAGTTAGGATGTGGGAGCCCAGAGCTGAGGCCGGGTATGTGTGAGTGTGTGTCTCTGTTCCCAGCCCCACGTACCTGCACTGGCCAAGGACATCCTCCGGTACTTCTCCTTGTTGGGGGTGCCTTCGTTGGCACCTGCGGTCGCGATGGCAAAGGCGGAGGCAGCTGAGAGGGCACTGCGGGAGCTGTCCAGCTCGCGGCACGAGGTCATCACCACCCCATTGTTGTAGGCGAAGAGTGGGAACTCTGTGAGAACAGGGGACTGGCCCTGAGCACCCTGCGCTGTCCCTGGCCCTCGGTGGGCTCTGCCAGGTGGTGCTGCTGGCAGCCCCATGAAAGTCTCCAGGGTGAAGTGGAAGGGTCAGCCAGCCACTCTGACACTGCTCCTGTCCCTCTGTGGCTCCCAACGCACCTGGCTGATCCTTCCACTTGATTTTAGCCAAAAGGCCGAGAAGCGATGAGCTGATCCTTTATACTGGAATCTAAAATACACCTGTTCAAAGCCTGACACCCCACACCCACTGCTCATGCCTGCAGGCTCATGGGCACAGCTGCGTGACCTGGTGAGTCACCTCACCTCTCCGTGTCTTTGAGTCCCTCTGGGGCTCAGGGAGACAGCCTACAGCAGATGGCAGATGGAAAGATCACGCAGTGGTCAGTTCCCCATCCTGGCGGGGTGGCCACATTGCCTGTCTCAGTACATAGTTCCAGCACTAATGCAGCGAGGGACAAATGATGTCCTTCTAGGACCCAAAGCGTGGGGCCGATGTGGTGGCACAGTGCTTTAAGCTGCTGCCTGCAGCGCTGGTATCCTCTAGGAGCGCTGGTTCGAGTCCTGGCTTTCCTGCACATGAGCCTGGGGAGGTAGGCGGAGGTGGCCCAAGCACTCGGATCCCTGCCACCCTCAGCAGAGACCAGGACAGAGGTCCAGGCTCCTGACTTCGGTCTGGCTCAACCCAGGCCATTGTGGCCATTCAGGGAGTGGACAAGTGGATGGAAGATCTTTCTCTCTGTCCCTCTCTTCATCACCCTGCCTTTCAAACAAACAAACTAAACCATAAACAGCAACAACAAAAAAGAAAAATAGCACTAACCGAGGGATGAAAGGGCTGTCCCAGCCTGGCATACAGGGACCTAAGTGACCCCATCTATCCCAGGGTCCTCTTTGGCCAGCCTCCCTGCCCACCGCACACAGTCGTGCCTGGAGTACGGTGAGGGGAGCAGGACCCAACCAGGCCCTGTCGCAGCCCTGGCCACCTACCCCCGGGGGAGCCTGTGACATCATCAGGGTGGTCCTGTCTCCAGGGAATGCTGCTCTGCAGGGTCTCACCCATGACCCTCTCCCCGGCAACCCCTACCCTGGTCATCTCGTACCTGAAGAGTTCTTGCTTTTCACCGACTTGGGCGTTGTTGGGGATTTCGTGGGCGATGTCTCCGTGTCACCGTCATCACTCTGATTCTGGTCACCGTCAGACTCTTCTCGCACGGACACCTCTGAGCCTGGGAGGGAAGTGGGGAGATGCTACAGCTGTTCTCTGCGCGGTGGGCGGAGACCACGCAGAAGGCGAGGAACGTCTAAGGGCTGTGGCTGCCCCATGCATGGGAACACGGGAGACCTCCAAGGTTGTTGCTGCCACACTAGGGACTCCTCACCTCTGAACAGCCAGGCCTGGGGGGTCCTGGTGGGCTGTGCAGGTCCCTGGGGGGTATCTGTGCACTTCTATGTCTAATAAGATCTGTATGCTGGCTTGGCCCCACACACTTTGAGTAGCAAAGTCTCTTAGCATCTTAGGGTGACATCTCCCTGATTGGCTCAGGACAGTCGTATCCCTGGTGACTTCCAAAGGGGAGCCCCTTGGAGCAATTAGATTCCAGGTGAAGTCGGGACCAAGAGCTCTCCTTCAGGGGTGGGCGGTTGGCCCAGGGTTTAAGATCCTGGGAAGAAGGTGTGATTCACCAGGTCTCACAGGGCTGGGCCTCATTCCCAGCGTGGGCTGCTGATGTATGCCCAGGGCGGCAGTGGTGATGGCTCCAGTGATTGGCTCCCCGCTGCCTGTGGGAGACTTGGATGGAGCTGCTGGCGGCTGGCATTGGCTTAGTCCAGTCCTGGCTGTTGGAGGCATTTAGGGAGTGACCAGAGCCTGGGGTGTGTGTGTGTGTATGCATATATGTGTATTTGTGTGTATTTGCTTCCTCCCCACTCACCCTGCTTGCTGAGTGTCGACGCATCTTCGGGCTTCTCCTGGGTGGCCTCTCCCTCGTCCGGAATCTTGTTGGTGAAGCTGCTGGACACATAGAGCTTGCTGGTGTCCAGTGTGGCCTTGCCGAAGGGTGACATGGCGGAGTACATGCTGGGGTAGCCGTTGGAGCTGCAGCTGAGGGCGGCCAGGTCCAGGGCTTTGCCGCCCGTGATGATGGGGATGTTGAGGGAGAGCTTCCGCCGGCGGCTGGGCGAGGAGGAGCTCAGCGACAGCGGGGGTGGAGAGGAGAACTTGCGGACGGCGCGCGGGGACTTGGGCGGCTCACCGTAGAGCAGCTTGCTGCTCTGGCCGCTGGCGAACAGCAGCTCCAGAGACCTACGGGGAAGGAGGGGCACGGAGGGACGGTCAGTCCAGGCTGGCCTGCCTGCGCAGCCGGAGGCTGGGCGGGTGAGTCCTAGACAGGAAGCCAGGCAAGCACCTGCTGTGTCTCCTCCTTCCTGTCTGCCTCGGCCGGGTGGCCTCAGCCACAGGTCTCGCCACCCCTTGCCTCAGTTTCCACGTATGGTAAGTGAGGATGTGCAACTACTTCCTGCTTGTATCTCAGTCTGGGCTGCAGGGGGGACCCTGTCAGTTCCCCTCCGCTTCCCCCCACGTCCTGCTCCATGTCTCGCTCGTCTTGCTCGGCATCACCCTCAGCTGTGGAAGCATTTGGCATGCGGGGGTAGGGGAAGGAGGCCCAGGCGTTGGATCAGTGCCTGGCCCATCGGAAAGTCCCATATTGTTGGGGAGCCAAGGCTGGCCCTTTGTCTGCCACTAACCTTGGCACAGGGAGGGCATGTTGGTGACTGTGCCTGACCTTGGAATCCTCCCATGGTGCGACACTGGGATGGCACCTGTCTGCTTGGGGTGGCCACTTCCACACCCTGCTCAGAGCAGGTGTGTGAGAAAGGCAGGGGCAAAAGCCACCTCCACTGGGTGTCCTTGTTTGGCCACTGCCTTCTGGGGGCCCTGGGGCCAGGCTCTGGGCATGTGTGGGTCCCAGTTGGTCCCAGTTGGCTGGGCCATTCTGATGTATCCAGGAAAGATGACCTTGAAGCCAAGACTAGGGGTGGGGTGGGGTTCTGACCTCCTGATCCCGGGTCATCCCCCAAAGCCGGCTCTCCTCTGCAGAGCAGGCAGAAGTCCAGGCAGAGCAGCGGGAAGCTTACTCCCTTCGGCCTCTCCCACTTGTCCCTTCATCCGTCTCTCCTCTCCTCCCCTCCCCCTTTAAGATTTATGTATTTTTATTTGAAAGGCAGATTTACAGAGAGAAGGTGAAAGAGAGAGAGAGAGAGAGAGAGAGAGAGAGACGGTCCTCTGGTCACAATGGCCAGAGCTGAGCTAATCTAAAGCCAGGAGCCAGGGGATTCTTCCAGGTCTCCCACATGGGTGCAGCATCCTAAGGACTTGGTCTGTCCTCCACAAACCGGTGCCCCTATGGGATGCTGACACTTACAGTTGGAGGGTTAGTCATTTGAGCCGTTGTGTCAGCTCCTCCATTCTCTCTTTCTTAATGGGGGAAACTGAGGCATCACTGTCCTTGGGAGAAGGCTGGGGCTGAGCGGTGATGGTGGGCAGTGCCCCCCTCTCTTGCCCAGGTAACCCCTCCCGTGCACTGTACCCGCCTGCCTCCTCACTCCGCGATGGGGCAGTGCAGGCTGGGCCCCGCACACCTGGCAGGGATGGCGCTGATGGGCTTCTTGTAGATGGTGATGAGTTTGCCCAGCACCACCACGGCGGTGGTGAAGACGCGGTAGGAGTGCAGGAAGGTGTTGAGGAAGTCGATGCTGAGGAAACGCAGGTCCGTGAGCCGCTCCAGCAGCCGCTCCACGCTGGCGTAGCGGATCTGCAGCACCTTGCAGGAATTCATGGTCTTGCTGAAGCGGATGTCCACGTCATCGCAATACAGAGAAGCGTCCGACCTGCGGGGGAACCAAGGTCGGGCAGGAGTAGGGGAGGAGGGGGTAGGCATCTGGGTCGCAAGCCGTCCGGGGGGACCCGCGGTGGGCCTGTCTCATTCTCGCCAGCTGTGAGTTCCCCCAGGGGCTGAGCTCATCACCGCCCTCCTGCCCCAAATGCGCTGCGGCCACTGAAGAGAACAGAGACCATTCTAGAAGTATGACTTTGGAAAAGGCGTGTGACAATCCCTGGAAACACAGGGAAAAGCTGATGAACTTAAAAAGTTCTCCAAATTTGCAGGAACCCTGTCGTGTCAAAATGTCTCTGTGGCTGCTCACGGCAGCAAACAGATTTCCCTATCGGGGTCTCCCACATGAGTGCAGGGCCCCAAGCACTTCAGCCCTCTTCCACTGCTTTTTAAAAGTGCATCTGCTGGGCGCGGAATCAAAGCAGAGCAGCTGGGACTCCAACTCCTGTTCTGATGTGGGCTGTGGTGTTGCAGGCAGAAACTTAACCCATGATGTCACAACACAGAGCCCCATGCGCTGGATGTTTTTAATGTCCTGGTTTATGGAAAAAGACCAGCCACCTCCTGAGGGGCCGCCAGGGATGGCGAATGCTGCCTGGGGTGGGAGTCAGACCCAGGCCGCACCAACCGAATCCCTCCTCCGACACTCCCCAAACTGGACGTTCGCAGATGTCAAGGGTAGCGCCAGGACCCTGGGGCGCAGCAGCAGGGGTTGCTCTCAGTGGCTGGTGAGCTTGAGGCCAGCGGCCTCTGCTGGGCGCACTCGGAACAGCAGCCAGGACGGCTGTTGCAGCTCACAGCGCCCCCTGGTGACTAATCAGCTGGCATGGTCACACCTCCCTTTAGTAACTGAATTAGGGGACACGGTGATATTTGGTTGTCAGGTTTGGATTTTTGTGCTGACTACTGAGAATCTTGACAGCAAATCAGGCGCCCACTGCATTGCATTTCATTATCGCTTGTTTGCCAGAGAGAGAGAGAGAAAATCTATTGGTTCCAAATGCTGGTGTGTGGGAATGGCAGGGACTCAATTCCTTGAGCTTTCTATCACCTGCTGCCTTCTTGGGTCTGCACCAGCCGGCAGCTGCAGCCAGGAACCAGAGTTGAAACTGGAAGCAGATGCTGGGGAGTTGGGGTCGCGGCACCGGCAGGCTGAGAGGTGAGAGGACGGAGTGGAGGTGGGAAGGACAAGGGGAGGCTTGCCTTGTTGCTGGGAGTCATTACAACAAGCGCAGCGAGTCTGGTGTCAGTGTTTTGTGGGTTTTCAATCATTATCTTGTCTCTATGTGTTGCATGGCCTGACACCAAATGAAGTAACCCTCCTCTCAGACGTGAGCTCGGAACACGCTGACCCACCTCCATCCACCTGCAGGCAGGACCCAGTGTGGGCCCCTCTCTCCCTGGGGACCTCCCTGCTGTCTTAGGTCGTGCCCTCGGGGTGGCGCTGGCGCTGGGGCTGGCACTCACTTGATCATCTGCGGCACCGTGACCTTGGAGTTCTCCTCAAAGGCGTTCATCATGAGCCCATTACAGCGGATGTTGTCCACACACTGCAGCGACACAAAGGGGCCAGGTCAGATCCCATCAGGAGGGTCTCAGCCCTGCCCATGCCTCACATAGGGATGCTGCCCATGTCAGGTTCAGTGCTGAGTGACCTCTGGATTCTGGCCAGGAGCCAGGACCCAGCAGAGGGACCTTGGGCAGCTGCATGACCTACCCGACCCTTGATTTTCCTATCTGTGGAATGGGGGCAGTGCCTCAACTGTGCTGGGCAGTTGGCCAAAGGAGGTGCCTGACGCAGGCCACTCTGTGGTTGTCCTCTGGAGCCGATGTCAAGGCCAAGGTCAGCTCCACTGTGGCTGGCCTTGCAGGGCTTCTGTTCCCCAGCCCCAGAGTGTTGGCCTCATCTCCCTGCTGCCGGCCACCATGGTGTCCATGCTCTGGGGACAGGAGTGGGATTCCAGAGAAGACACCTATAGGTGGGGTGCCAGAGGGGCAGGAAAGGGTTGAGGGGTGCAGAGGAGCATGCATTTTATCTGGTTCCTGAAAAAGCTCAAAATCCAAATCTTACCTATCCCGACAGAGTGAAAGGCACAGACACCACGTGCAGTGGCGGGGCTGCCCTGGGCTTTCTTCCATGCCCTTGGCCTGGGGCAAACCCAAGAAGGGCAGCGGCCACTCACAGGGCATGTGTGTTACTGGGAGGCGCAGCTGCTAGGCTAGACAGCGGGGGGCAGGTGTCCTGGAGGTCAGGCTCCCCCCAGATGGGGTACCTCGGGCGGGGGCATGTCACCATTTGCACTTCCCATTCTGACTTCAATGCATTTTTTAGGGACTAGCATCATGGCATTGCAGGGTAAGCTGCCACCTGCCCAACCGGGGGTGCTGATTGGCCTCTGGTTGCTCCAGTTCCGATCCAGCTCCCTGTTGATGCACCTGGGTCGGTGGTGGAAGATGACCCAAGGACTTGGGCCCTGCCACCCATGTGGGAGACAAACACAGAGCTGCAGGCTTCTGGCTCAGCTCTGGTCACTGAGGCCATTGGTGGGGAGTGAGCCAGTGGATGGAAGATCTGTCTCTGTGATTCTGTCTTTCAAATAAATGAATACCTCTAAAAAGGATTTAGTGTAAAAGAACATATTTATTAGGCAGAAAGTATGTGTGCACGAGACAGCTTCCATCTGCTGGTTCACTCCCCAAATGCTTGCAACAGCCAGTGGCTCACAGAGCTGGGTACCCAGACTGGGGTTCCCTTGCAGGTGACAGAGACCCAACTGCCCGAGCCCTCATCACTGCTTCCCAGCCCAACCCAAGCCCTCTCTCTTTTAAAAAATATTTATTTAATTTGAAAAGCAGGTTTACAGAGAGAAGGAGAGATGGAAAGATCTTCCACCTGCTGGATCCCTGCCCAGGTAGGTGCAACAACCGGAGCTGAATCAATCTGAAGCCAGGAGCCAGGAGCATCTTCCAGGTCTCTAACGTGGGTGCAGGGTCCCCAGGCTTTGGGCCATCCTCTAGTGCTTTCCCAGGCACATTAGCAGGGAGCTGGATGGGAAGTGGAGCAGCTGGGACACGAACCGGTGCCCATATGGGGTCCTGGAACTGGCAGAATTAGCTTGTTGAGCCATTTCACTACCTTCTCCTTTCCTTCCATCCCTCACAAGCACTTTAGCTCTGGTTTCCAGCAGTGATTCCAGTGTGACAGGGAGAGACCACATGGGGTGGGTGCCTTATGGAGGCAGCTGACAGTTTGGGCACATGGCCACCAGGGTCCCCAGGGAGAAGGACCGGAGGACTCCATACCCACTGGTACCAGCAGTGCCAACTGCAGGTGCCCTGAACCCCTGATGGCCGTGGCTTCCTGGTGATGTGAAAAGCTATCCTTGGGGTTCTCCTGGGAAAGGTCACAGCCCTGCTGGGCTGCATCCCAACCCACCGTGTTCTCCTGGGACTAGAAGAGGGGCAGGCAGGCTAGCTGGCAGGCTAGCTGGCGGCCCCCAGGGAGCCTTTGTTTGGAAAGGGGGGTAGTGTGTATCACTGGGAGGAGAAGGAGGAGCAAGGGAGGGACTGCTACGTTGGGCAGTCTGAGCTCCCACTGCTAGCTAACACTGACTTCCAGGGGCCCGGCCACAGCTTTGCTTCTCTGCCTCCTGCCATTAGCTGCTATCTGACTCGAGCATGCCACACACGAAGGCCACGCAGGTGCACCCAGCTGCTGTGATGGGTCAGTGCTGCAGGTGCCCGTGAGAGTCCCTGGGCCTGCTGAGTGGCACCTCCCAAGCCTGTGCTTCCTGCTAGTGCTCTCCACAAGGTGCCTGACTCTGAAACAGGATGACCCTCCTCTGCAACCATGACCTTGGGCTTGACATCTGATTGTGGCTGTGCTCCCAGTCCCCCAGGGCCAGCGCTCTATGACCGATACACCAAGGATCTGGGTATGCACTAAAATGCAGACCCCCCTACAGGTCCCAGAGGTGGGAGGAGCAGGACCAGGCAATTCAAATGCAAGGGGCTTGCAGGCTGCACTGAGGCTGGCCCAGGGGCTTCCCTGCGCTGGGCAGCTTGGCTGACCTTGGCCTTGGCTGGGGCGTGGACCTGGAAGCTTGTTGCTCTTTCCCAAGAGAAAAATGTGGTGATCTCCTCCCACCAGCCTCCAGCTGGTGAGGGCAGCTGGGAATACCTGCTGTTAGGGACAGCTTCGCGGCCGCTCACCTGGCTGATGTCACTGGTCCACGCTGCTTTTTCCTGTCTGGACGAAGCCACCAGGATGACTGTGAAAGGCGGGGAGTCTTTGGGCTCCACCCCAATCTTGAAATCTAGGTGGTCAACGTCTTGGCCGGATCCTTTGGCTTCCCGTGGGGAACAGAAAGGCAGGGGAGTGAGTATGGGGTCCTGTCTTGCCTACCGGGGGGCGCTCCGTCCCAGGTCACTCTTCTCAAATGTATGGCTTTCCCCTTCATTTGAAAGACCGGGGTGGGGGGCGGTGCAAGTGGCTGAGAGGTAGGCCAGGGAGAGATGAGGCCTCAGAGCCGGGATACACATTGTGACTGAGACTTGTGTGAAGTGCTAACAGCTCAGCTGAGCCAGGCCAGGAACCACCTCCAACCCCAACCTCTCCAGAACAAGAGGAAGCCCTGAGCCTGGAAGGCTGCATGGACCCTCCAAAGCTGTGAAGATGGCAGTGGGAGGAGCTTCCCATTGCTCCCCTGGGAACCACAGGTGCACCTGATGCATGGAGCATTGTGGGAGATGGATCGGCTCGGCCACCTGCTGCCTAGGCAAGCTTGGGATGGTGTCGTCCCCCACCCTCACCCCCAGCCCCCCTCTCCTGGGTTTCATGTGTGACACTTGATGCCTGCCAGGTCCCTGTGCACACCCCAGCAGCTCATTTGGGGATGGCTGGCTGGCACAGGGGAGCATGTTCTGCCTGGTGACTTGAGGTGTGTGTGGGGGTGCCGTGCTGTGCTGGCTTTCCAGGAAGTGGGAGCGTGTGTGGGGGTTTCCCCTCAGTTCCACATTTCCTCCATTCCCCAACCTTTCCAGTGGAGGACAGGAAGGGGCCCCCCGAGTTGTTAGTCCCGCCACAGAGATGTGTTCACTGAGACGATGGTGTTCCCACACATGATGATGCTGGCTGCTCCTCGGGCCCCCACGGGTCCAAGGGTGGATCAAGGAGCACCTTCTTGAAAGGTGCTTGCTTTCTGTGTCAGCACACACACACGCACACATGTGCACACACACGACTGTCACACTCACCTTCCTCCTCCGTGCTTTCTGGATCCTCCAGCAAGGTACAGTCGATGAGGGATATGACTCCATTCTGAAAAAGAGCAGCGGGTCCTGGGTGGGGTGCATGGGCAGGTGTTCCTGCTTTGTGTCCCCGGGAGTGACAGTGTGGGGCACCCCACACGCTGCGCGCAGGTGCCTCTGTTAAAGGCAGTGAGGGGGCAGTTGAGCTTCATGTGTTCAAGGAAGAAGCCCAGGGAAGTGGCTCAAATGGGAGGGCCACTGTGCCTTGCTACCTTCACCTCTTTGCCTATAAGATGGGACCATGAGATCTCTGACAGGTCTACAAGCTGGACGGCTGTGTCCCTGTTGGTGACTTGAGGGGTGTGGCCTGGGTCAGGGACACTTAGGGGACGCTGTGACCATGGCCTCCCCGTGGGTGCACAGCCCTGGACAGATTCAGTGTTTGCAGGCTCCTCTCCCACCTCCCCCTGCAGCTGACCACGTGATGGGCCAACAGGTCATGACACCACCAGCCGCACATTCCCTGGACCACGGCTCCCTCTGCTGGCGTCACGGCAGGTTCTGGGCATCCGGAGCCTGGATGAGCTGCTTCCCTGATGACCTGGCTGAACTGAGGGCACCATGGTCCTTTCCAACCGCCAGGCTTCAAGGGGAGGGGCTGCACATGTGCTGGGGCAGCCTGGCCAGCCAGCTCGCTGTTAACTCCTATGTGCCAGCCCCTGCTAGGGCCAGAGACCCAGGAGGAGAGTGCCGGGAAGCATGTAGCATGAGTGAAGGGGTCTGTGAGCAGCAGGAAGGGGAGCCTCTTAGCCTTGTGGGTTGGGTTGGGTGGTTGAGCATGTGGGTCCCGTGAAATGCTTGGAGATCTTGTGGGCAGGTCCTGGGTATGAGCAACTCAGGAGCCCCTAAGGCCTGGGCTACTCTAAGGGCACAGTGGCAACTGGGGAGCTGCTGTAAGGAGCTCTGTGTGGACAACTCCTGGCTGGGAAAGAGACGCCCCACACGTGCGCACACACACACCTGCAGACACATCACCCTCACCCCCAGTACATCCTCCTCTTAGCGCCTGTTCAAACCTTGAGCCTCGCAGGCTCCATTCTCACCTTCCCACTTCCCTCAAGCATTCCCATTGATGCCTTGTGAACCCGCTGCTCATGTCAGCTTGCAGGTAAAGAAGGGCACCAGCTTAGGCATGTATGCATGTGTGTGAGCATTGGTGAGAACGTGCATGTTGCACATGTGCCCTTGTGTGGGCATGCATGAGTCTGTGTGTGCATGTATGTGTGAGCATGTCTTTGTATGTGCTCCCATGTCTCTGACACGCCCGCTCCCCATCTGGGCTGGGTCGGGGCCCAGCACGAGCCCCTGTCGCGCTCACCTTGGTCAGGTGCAGCTTGCCCCCGGAACCCCTAGTACAGATGATGAGGTGCTTGGAGAACAAGAAGCACTGCCGCTCGCCCTCCTTCTTGAGGGACAGGGAGCCCAGGCGCCCCCTGGTGATCTTGCCCTTTTCCGACATGGGCACCTGGATGAGGGAGCCTGCGGAAGGGAGAGCCACCCTGAGCCCATCCCCGGCCCTGATGCGGCTGTGACGGTGTGGGTGCCAGCTGCAGCAGCCGTGGGACGAGGCGACAGCACACCATTGTCAGGGCCACCCCTGGACAGCACATCTTGGCCTCTGGGATGCCCCTTCCAGCCCTCCCAGACTGGGGAGCCCTCCAGGGCATGGTCCTGGTGGTGGGATTGAAGCTGCGATGGATCTGGGGGTGGTGTGAGAGATGCTGGGACCTCGGTCCCCAGACAACAAGGCAGCAGGACAGACCCAGAGGTGATCCATTCTGTCCCCGTCCTCCACCCCAGAATCTCCCCTCCAAGGACTTCTCTGGAACACACACACACGGAGACAGGCCAGGGTCCCCCGGGGACAATCAGAAGCATGAACCGTCCAGCGCCAGGTGCACCTCTCCGGACAGCCCCAGGAGCACCCTGCCTCACCCCTGCGCCCGAACCTTGTCTCACGAAGGTCTGGCTGGTGTCCAGGAGGATCTCGCAGCCCTCGATGATCATGCGCTCAATGGCCAGGTTCTTGCGGATGTTCTCGGTCTCGCTCACCTCGTCGTGCATTATCCTAGGGGGTGGAACATTATCCTGGCTGCCGGCCAGGCCCTGGGACAACGCCTGCCCTCAGGTGAGGAGCCTGCATTTCCTAAGCACCAGCTGCAGGTTGGCAGGAACCAGGCAGTCCTCCGTCCATGGCCCTACCTAGGTCCCGCCTCCTCATCCACTGGTCGAGGCACCTGCCTGCTCCTGTCGCTTCATCCTCCCACTGCTCCCTTCCACCGGTTCTCCAGAGGGTTGTGCCCTTTATGCCAGCGGGATCCCCACAGGGCTAATTGTTTTGTAGTGAAAGGGTTGATTCCTGACCAAGGCCATGAACACGGACGGTGGCAGGGAACCAGGACAATTCCCCATTCGTCCAGTAGATGGCACTGCTTTATGGAGCCATGAAGCGTTGGTGGCCAAGGGTGGGTGCGAGCGCCCTCAACTGGCCCGGCGGGCTTCCAGCAGTCCCGGAAAAAGTCGGCAAGGAAGGTTTTTGGAAACAGCAGGGACAAGAGGAGGAAAGAATAGGAAAATCCACTTCTCTGCCGCGAAGGCTGGGTTCAGGGCTGGGGGCAGGTAGTTGGGAGCCGGTGTCTGGGGGTGGGAAGAGCTGCTGCAGCCAGGACCCTCACCTTGGTTCCTCTGCCACCTGCACCTGTTTGCATCAGGAAAGGATGGGGCATAAACCAGGGTCGTGGAGCCCCACTGTCCTGTGGGAGTCCCAGCTTCCGCTTTAGGGAAGAGTGTTCATGATGGAGGGAGTGGGGTCTTGGTGTGGGAAGAACAGAGCATCCCCGCCCTACCTACTGGGATGTTCTCGCTCTGATTCTCTGGGGGCAGCAAGGGTCGAGGCAGCCCCTGCCATAGTCTATTCCAACCTGATTCTCCTTCTGGCCAGCTGGAAACCCGGAGCTCCCCACGGCCGACCCACTACCACTCCCCCCCGCGACCCAGGAAGCTCCAGGGTACTGAGTGATGGTAGGGCCCTGGGGAGGGCTGGTGCTGAACCTGGTGCTCTGACCACCTGGCCCTTCTCCACCTGTTGGCCCCCACACAGCAGAGACGCCAGGGCTCAGCCTCAGTACCGCCCCCCCTTTCATTTTTGTGTCCACACCGCACCCTCCACAGTGTATCTGTCCTCTGGTGCTGAACTCCCTGGCCAGCTGACCCCTCTCCGGCACTCCGCTCCCAGCTTGCCTCTCTGTGTGGGTGTCTCATGGGCACCCCAAGTTCAAGGTGCTCCGGAGAAACGGAGCTCCCCTCCCCCGCCGTCCGACTCCTCCTGGGATTCTTTCTCCATCTTGGTTTCTGGCAGTTCCATCCTGGGATTGCTCAGCCCCAACCTGCGAACTCAACTAGACCGCGGCCTGTCGTTGCCCACACTGAGCCCATCTGAAAACCCCAAGTGTGTTCACCGGCACCCTCCTCGTGCAGGCCACCCCTTGCCCTGGCTGTCTGCATCTGCACAGCTAGCCACTACTTTTGGACTGCAGTGATGGGGCCTTGGCCAGAGGCTGGGGGTTCCTGGAGTGGGCACTGCCTATTGGAGCCTTGGGCATACAGGGGGGCCTGGCACCCAGCAGCCCCCTGGGGCTTCAGGACACTGGAGGACACAGTGAACACACAACATCTGGGGTGCCACGGCAGCTCCCCAAGGTGAGGTCCAGGAGCCCCCACTATCTCCAGCAGGGGCCCACCTGGGCTGGCCCATCAGCCCCTCAGGACCCTGCAAGAGGCCTCTGCTTTATGGGCTGTTCCCTTCTCCCTCCCCACTCTCCACCCAACCTGGGCAGGGGTGAGGGCGCACCTGGACAGCTCCTCCAGTTTGGACTTGGCATAGTCCAGGCTGTTCCGCTCCACGTGCTCGTGAGGCGTGTGGGCCAGGAGTTCATGGAGGGTCAGGATGTACCGGGGGATCTGCGGGTGGTGGGGGAAGGGGGAGGGAGAGAGGTGGGAGGACAGGGACAGATGGGGACAGGGAGCCAGCGAGAGATCGTGATGATTCAGGGGACAGAGAAGCATGGAAGGAGGGAGAGAGAGTTCGTCCTTTCAGTTGGGGGACTCTCCTCTCCCTGGTTGGGGAAGCGACAGGTGCGCCTCTGGTCCCTGGTCTCTTGCTTATGTGGGGCAGGACTTGGCTCATCCCAGGTCTTCCTGGGGCCGGGAGGCAGGGCTCCTTGGAGGCTGGCCTCCCCTCTCCCACCCGTCCTTGGGGCTCACGGTCCTGCCCCGAGTCTGCCCTCCCAGCAGCCCTGCATGGGGCACCTGGAACATGGGGTAGGTGAGGAAGGTCTCCAGCGTGCGTTCCTCGCAGTCGGGCTTGGCCTCATAGTGCTTGAGCAGCTTGTCGAAGTCGCGGTTCTGCTTGCAGTGCGCCAGGATCTGCAGGCTGTACTGGTGATTGCGGACAAACTCCTGGTAGATGTTAAGCATCGGCAGCAGGATGTCAAACAGGTCGGCTGTGGGGAGCAAGAGATGGTCGGTGTGCGCGTGCGCGTGCGCGGCCAGGGCGCCCACAGGGTGTGAATGTGCGTGTGTGTGCGTGTGTAGTCTGGATACAGGGCTGGCTCTGGCATCCCTGCCCTACCCAGGGACCCAGCGGGGCCCAGCTGTTGGAACTGCATTGGAGGCCTGGAAGTCCAGCAAGAGGTTGTGGCCCACCTTCCACCTGGTATACAGTCACAACCCCTCCATGTCTAGTGGTGAGGGTGGGGGTGGTGAAGGGACTCCGGTGGTGGATGACTGTCACTCCCACAATAGCTGTTGGCTGCAGGAGGCTGCTGTGCCCAGGTCCCACATGCCTGGTCCTTGTTGGGGTGTAAGGAGCAGGCCCAGCCTCATCTGGGGTCCCCATGGCAGTGCTTCCAGCCCTTGCAGCTCCCTGTGGGATCAGGGGACTCCTCCCTGCGTCCACCCAGGTGCGCTCCAGGGGAGTGACAGAAAGGAGATCAGAAGGGAGCCTGCAGCTGACTCTCCTGATACCTGTACCATGGCTTCCCTCTGGCCAGTTCCAGCTGCTACGTCCACCAGGCGCATGTGCCAGCTTGTCAAGTGCCCTGCCTGGGATTGGGGGTGTTTCGCTGTGACCCCCGGCCCTGAGTGTGGATGCTGCCTTGCTGGCTCCCCCAGACCTATCCTCCCTGTGGCAGACCTCGTCTTAAAGTGTTCTTTGGAGGGACCAACAGGACCGTCCCCACTGGGGGAGGGGGCTTTTTCTCTCACTCCCCAAGGGATTGTCTTTAATAGCAAAGAGACCGCAGCTTTGTGGCTTTGTGGCACACACCTGCCACAGGAAGGAAGGGGGGACAACAGCACCCTGTTGGGGTAGGGGAGCTGCGGGGGATACTTGGTGACCATGTTGGGTAAAGGCAGGGCAGGTTTCTTGCAGGGCAGTGGGTCAGCTCCAGGGGTCTTAAGCCCCTGGATGAAAACACTTGCCTAGGACTTGGGCTTTGCATCCCTTCGCCCCCCTGTGCAGAATCCACTCCGATTTTAATTCCATTTCTCACAGACTTTGGGAGGCAGCTCTGAGGTCTGAAGCAAGAACCTCTGCTCCAGTAATTCTGCTTTTGGAAATGTGGCCCAAGGAGGCAGTCACTAACAGCACCTATTAGCTGACTCTCTTTCTCTTTCTTTTTTAGATTTGTTTATTTTTATTGGAAAGACAGATATACAGAGAGGAGGAGAGACAGAGAGGAAGATCTTTTGTCTGATGGCTCACTTCTCAACTGAGCACAAAGGCCAGTGCTGTGCCAATCTGAAGCCAGGAGCCAGGAACTTCCTCCAGGTCTCCCACATGGGTGCAGGGTCCCAAGGCTTTGGGTCACCCTTGATTGCTTTCCCAGGCCACAAGCAGGGAGCTGGATGGGAAGTGCGGCTGCTGGGATTAGAACCGGAGCCCATATAGGATCCTAGCATGTTCAAGGTGAGGACTTTAGCTGCTGGGCTATCGGTCCAGGCCCAGCTGATTATTTCTAATAATGAAAGCTGGGGGCGGGGGAGGTGGGAGCTGACGTCATGGCACAGTGGGTTGAGCTGTTGCCTGCAGTGCTGGCTGACTCGTTTGAATCTCAGTTGTTCCCATTCCCATCCAGCTCCCTGTGTGTGGCCTGGGAAAGCAGCAGAGGATGACCCAAGAGCCTGGGATCCTGCACCCACATTGGAGACCCAGAAAAAGCTTTTGAGTCTGGCTTCAGCCTACCCATGGTTGGCTCTGGTGGCCACTTGGAGGAGTGAACCAGTTAATGCAAGATATTCTCTCTCTTGGTCTTCCCATCTGTCAAATAAATGAAATAATAATAAACTCATCCCCCAGAAAACCAAAAACTGGAACAGCTCCTACAGCTGCCCATGGGCTATGGTGTCACAGAGGACTGAGTCTGGGGTAGTACTTGGCCATTAGAAAGCAAGTTTTTGCCAGAAGTCTTAGGTTGTGGTGCTGGAGTGAACACACACACAGCAGGATCCCAATTCTACAGTCAGCACATTTGCAATTATGTGAGCTGAACAAACAAAACCAAACACCAAGATCTACACAGAAGAAAAAAAGGGACAAAAACACGCAGTTGCCTTAGCGTGATGCCGTGGGAAGCAGCATCGTGGCGGATATTTTCAAATGCTGGCTGCTGTTCTGGGTTTTCTAAGGTTGTCAAGTGAACAAGGCTACAAGTCTTTTTCAAAGCAGAAAGTGGACAGTAAACCAAAAACACTCCACTTCTGCCTAGAAATAGAGCTTGGGAACGCTTGGCTGGGGTCCTGGCTAAGGGAGTGGGGCCCCTCTGGGGGCATTCATGAGAGCCGGCTACTCACCCAGGACCAGCGTCGGCCAGCTGGAGATGCGGGCCTTCAGGCCTTGGTAGAAGATCTGGTGTAGAAACATGATGGTTTCGCTGTAAGAGAAAAGGACTGGGGGGTCAACCCAGGCCAGGGAGCTTTATGCCTGAGACCCTTCCCTTCCCCTAGACCCCACCATACTCAGGGGTCCCTTTAGAATGGAGAGGGGGTGGGACATACCGCCACAGCTTACACCCTTCAGAGGGTTCTTGTCCGTGAGCTGCAGGGGCACTGCAATGTGCCTGGCCTCGTGCAGAGTGAAAATGAAAATCCCTTTGCTACAACTTTCTTAGGTCAAGGGAGGGTGTGGGTTGTTCTGAGGAGGGGATCAAGGGCCATGAGGCTGGGGGAGGGGGTCCCCCCCGGCGAGGGTCCCTGAGATCTCTGTGGTTGGGGGGGAACCCAGGGCTCTGGAGAACACCAGAGAAGCCCATAATGGCAGGACAGCTCCCCGGGGCCATGGGAATCCTGGGAAGGACTTGCAGCTGTGTCCACAACTGATGCTGGCTGCAGCTGTCAGAGGGGACTTCCTAAGGTGGAAAACCAGCAGGTTCTGGCCAGCACTCTATTAACCAGTCTGCACTTGACTAACCTTGAGGAGAAACCCCAGAACCTGCCCAGACTGCTCAATCACCTGGGTGCCACAGCCTGCAGGGCTGTCAGGGACAGACAAGAATGAAAAGGAAAAAAAAGGGCGGGTGCTCAGGGGAGAGACCCAAGTTCAGACCTCTTGCAGCAGCCTCTTCAGGGACATCCAGGCCATGATGAGTCTGGAGGGACAGGATATCACCCACTGCCCTCCAACACCATTGTGTGCTGGAGAGCCACTGGAGAAAGGACTGTCCTGGCTTGGCTTGGTCTGGGGCAGCCCACATCATGACGGTCAAGGCTGCCTAGGACTGACTGGGCCAAGATTGCCCTCTGCCCACTGGTTCTTCCCGTCTCTGCCGAGGCACCTCGGGTGGTCCTTGACATGGCAGGTAAGGCGAGCATGCAGAACCAGTGATCCCAGCCCAAAGCCTTTTAAAAGGCGAGATGTGATGCAGCTCAAGGCCAGTCGGGGAATGCAAGCTGTGATCTGAGTTCTTCTGGTGTGGGCTTGGAGGGCCTCATCTTGTGCCCATAAAGAAACCCCAGGGGCCTCCAGACATGTGCGGGACCTGGCTGTGAGCGCCACACACCCAGCAGTCTCTGACCTGGTATTCTGGCTCTCTTCCTTGCCTCAGTTCTGCTTCTTGCCCCTGTGGGTACAGTCTTAAGCAAAGACACCACATAAGCCCACATGACACAACCATGAGCCAAGTCCTTCTCCCCTCTACACCCCATCTGACACTCATCAGTGCCGCCCAGGTCAGTGGAGTCAGGCACATGTTAACTTTCAAGGGGACTCCCCTGCCCTCAGCCCTTGTTTTTCCCACCAAATGCCTGGCTCATTAAGAACACTGAAGCCCAATGGATGGCAGGGATTTGATCTAAAGTAGGAGGCTTTGTTCCCATTGCAGACTTGGTAACTCCTTCCCCTGGGCCAAGTGGGGATTTGGGAGGGCTCTCTATCCACCCGGACAACCACATGACTGCAGACATCACTGGTCTGGCCTTCATTGCCCACCCCACAGACAACCCCTTCACCCCAAAGCCAACCCCTTCTCCAGGTTGCCGACAACAGTCTCCCTGGGTGGGGGAAAGTGTGGCTCCACATGGAGTCTCCGTCTACCACCTGTCAAGTATGACTTGGGAGAGACCAGTCATTGGGTTGATTTTGGAATACATTGGGGTTAGGGCCATGGGATTAGCAGCCCCTTTGGGGAGTGCTGCTTCCCAGGAAGCAACTATGAAAACTGATCTCACTTTGGACAAGAGGGCCCCTGACCACAGACCAGGCTCCTTGTCACAGGGAGACTTGTCTGGGCTGTCTGGCAGGTGTGGTTCTTGACCATAAGCTTGCCCTTGACTGCCAGTTGAACAAGGTGGTGTAGGTGCTGTAATGCTGTACCTGTAACGGTGACTCAGGCACAGTGGAATTAGATACTCAGGAAATTTATGACCAAGCTTAATGACTATGCACCTTTGGGCAAGGGATGCTGGCAGCTAACCTCATCTGGCAGGTGGTAAAGGATGCTCTACCACCTGTCACCTGGCTCTGTCCTCTGAGAACTTCTAAGGGCTATAGTTTGGCTACTGGTTATCAGTCCATGTCTATTCAACCCACTTGTCAAGTTTGTCACTTCTAGAATCCAACAATTCCATGTCAAGGTGATGGTTACACAAGGTTTCCAACTAATGGTCACTAAACTAGACCCAACTCCCAGTCCAACTGCTCCACCACTGGGACCCAAGACCAGGCATGGGTCTGCCCTGAGTAGGCAAGGATAATGAGGTATGTACACCACAGAAGAAGTCAGAAGTTGTAGGGGGCTGGCGTTGTGGTGCAGTGAGTTAAGCCACTGCCTGCAGCACTGGCATCCCAAATGGGAGTCAGTTCCAATTCTGGCCCTCTACTTCTGACCTAGCTCCCTGCTAAGGTGTCTGGGAAAGTAGTGAAGGATGGCCCAAGCTCATGGGTCCATGTACCCACATGAACAATCCAGAAGAAGCTTTCGGCTCCTGGCTTTGGCCTGGCCCAGCCTTGGTTGTTGCAGACATTGGGAAATGAACTATCAGATGGAAGAGCTCTCTTTCTTTCTCTCTTCTGTAACTCTGTTTCCCGCCCCCTCCTTCCCCCCAAAAAGCAAGACCCAAGTCGCAGAAGACAGACCATTCCCCTTCATCAGCTGCTTAAGCTTAAGGCATGGAACTCTGATGGGGCCAGAGACAAGGGCCTGGAGGGAGCAGGTGAGTCAGCTGGAAAGAACACTTCCTATAAGATGCAGGATGGATGGCCCTTGCTCTGGAGATACACAGACCCCTGCCTGGACCTGGCTCATACCAGCTGAAGGGCCACCACTGACTTAGACTGGCCAACAGCTCATTCTACCTTCACTGCAATACATCAGTTAAATGATGCACTTGTCAGCTGCTATGACAGCAAACATGGGAACTATGAAGAGTGGAGGGCCCGGTGTGATAGACTAGAGTTAAGGTCCTCGCCTTGAACCCCCCAGAATCCCATATGGGTGCCGGTTCTAATCCCGGCAGCTCCACTTCCTATCCAGCTCCCTGCTTGTGGCCTGGGAAAGCAGTCGAAGATGGCCCAGAACAGTGGGACCCTGCACCCGCGTGGGAGACCCGGAAAGAAGTTTCTGGCTCCTGGCTTCGGAGAGGTGCAGCACTGGTCATTGTGGCCACTTGGGGAGTGAATCATCGGATGGAAGATCTTCCTCTCTGTCTCTCCTCCTCTCTGTACATTTGCCTTTCCAATAAAAATAAATAAATATTTTAAAAAAGAAAAAGATGGAAGGAGTGGTAGCCAGATTCTGGGCATTTCTGTCTACTTCCCAGAAAACCCCATGAATACTCCTCCCTTATTAGAACGCTCCGCCACTTTCCATAAACACTTATCAAAACCGGGCCCACAGTGCCCTCACTGTCCAGTACCAGGGCCACTGCTAACCAACCTCTTCCTCTTCTCCCTTACCCACTACTGGGCACCCCACTTACACAGACTGCCTCGTCTTAACAACAGAAGGGGAAGAGCAGGCGGGGGTGGGGCTGTGCCTCCTGTGCCGCACCACTCGTGGGGGCTGTTGGACCAACCCTCTGAGGTCTCATGAGGCCGCCCTGTGTCTTTTGAAGGTCATGGTTGCCCTTGTCCTGAGAAGGCCACAGTCCCCTTTCTCTCTCCCTCTTCTTGGCTAAAGGCATCTGACCTGAACCACTCAGTTTTTTAAAAGCTAAAAACCAAATCAGGATGTGATTTTTCTCCCCCACCACAATTTTTTTTTAACACGTGCTGTGAGCTGTCTAGAATGCTTTTAAACTCACTATGCCAGGAGCAAAAGCCTCACAAATGGGCAGCCAGTGCAGCACCCACAATGTTACAGGGTAATCTGCAGATGCAATGGGGTGATGGAAAGATACAAGGAAAGGACACATGGCATAGAATGGCGGTGTTGCTTCCCATGGATCTCCACGGGTGTCACCTGCCTCTCTCGGACATGTGGTCCAGGGTCAGCAGCAAGGACAGAACCCCTGGCCTCCCAATGCCTGGGTGCACCAGAGCCGCAGGCAACTCACGCTGGAGAGTCTGTGAGCCCAGTTTCTTGGTGGAGGTGGGGTCGCTTAATCTAAAAGCCCATTGGACGTCCTGGGGCATAAATGTTGCTTGGTGAGCCTGGTGCAATGTGTCCGTGGCTAAATCCTCACCTTGCGTGTACTGGGATCCCATATGGGCACTGGTTCATGTCCTGGCTGCTCCACTTTCCATCCAGCTCCCTTCTCGTGAGCTGGGAAAGCAGTAGAGGACAGTCCAAAGTCTTGGGACCCTGCACCTGCATGGGAGTCCAGAAAGAAGTTCCTGGCTCCTGTCTTCGAATCAGTTCAACTCCTCTCGCTTGTTCACTTGGAGAGTGAACAAACAGATGGAAGATCTTTTTCTCTGTCTCTCCCCCTCTGTGTAAATGTGCCTTTCCAATAAAAATAAATGAATATTTTTAAAAGATTGTTGCTTGGTGTTCTAAAACGATAATGATAATTTTCTTTGTTCTAATGAATGCACAAAGATTTGTGGGTCGTATGAGGCTGAAAGCTGCTCCCCTCCCACCTGCTTCTCTTTCAATGTCCCTTTCTGGGAGGCCACGCCCATGTCCACTGTGGCAGCCATGTCCCCCTTGTCCCCAATAGCTTCCAGTCTCTAATCTCTCGCCCGAGTCTCTGACCTATGTGTGACTATGACCTATGGCCCCTCCTGCAGGTGAACACCTGCCCATTTGCCACACTCCATTGGCAGGGAAGCGGGGAGAACAGCGGGGCATAGAGGACAGGGTCTGGAATACCTGTGCTTGTTGGCATTAGTGGAGTGACTGAATGCTGAATATTTAGTTCATCTATTTGAGAGACAGAGAAAAAGAGACGGGGTAATAGAACTTCTCTACCTACTGGTCCATTTCTTCCTCCACCCACAAAACGCTTGCAATGGCCGGAGAGGCTGAAGACAGGAGAGAGGAACCCAACCCAGCTCTCCTGTTGGGTGGCAGGGACCCGGTGATTTGAGCCATCACCACTGCCTTCCAGGACACACACCAGCAGGAACCTGGAACTGGGGGCAGAGTCAGGACTTAGGCTCAGGCCGTTTTATGAGATGCAGGCTCCTCAGCTGGTGTCTTCACTCTGAAGAATATGCCTGGGAGAAATGCAGTTGACTGAACATCCAGGGGCACACGACGATTGATTTGTAAGTAACGGTCTATTTACATGTCTTCATTTTAGCTGCTTCTCTGCCATTTAAACAGTTTCCTTGCCCAGCAAGTGGTTGATTGGAACCACTTCCCAAAGTCGCTCTCTCCAGAAGAGGTTGACTGCATAGCAGCTGTCAGCTCAGTCTTCCACTGTCATGCAAACCCTGTATTAGCTCCTGGAGCTGGGTAGAATGCTACTGAGCCCAAGATTTCTGAATTCGAACTTGACCTCTAGGTCAAGATAGACTGGAACGTGGTTTACTGCAGTTTTTGAGCTTGATTTGTGCTGAGGTTTGCACAGGGTTGGTCCCCACCAAACTCGATGAAGGCTGATGCCCAGGGGAGGAGTGGCCAGAAGTAGAGCACCTTTAAGAGGTGGGGCCTATGGGTGACACCTTGGTCATGACCCGCCTTAGGGAAGGGATTAATGGTGGTCTCTTGGAGTGGGAATGGTCTTGCTGAGGGTTAAATCAGGTAAGAGTTGGTTGTTGTTAGACAGTATGCATGGTTCTTTCCTGTCCTGCTTCTTCTTGTGCCCCGTGATGACCCCTCTCAAGCCCTCTGACCTTTCTCATGTCTTGTGACCCCCTTGTGCCCTGTGAACTCCATCATGGCCTCCTACTCCTCTCCCTCGCATACCATCTCCTGTGCTATCTGTCCCAAGGCCTTCACCAGGAGCCATATTCTCGGGTCTTCAAAAACAAATCTGTTTTCTAGATCAAATGCCCTGCTTCAGGAAATTTGTTCTAGCAATACAAAATAGATTAAGATAACTCACAGTGTTTAAACCCAGGGTGGATTGGGGTGAGGGCGGACATTGGGCCCATGACTGAGGTGCTGGTGAGGTGCCTGAGTTGGAGGGCATGGGCTCTCTACCTTGAGCTGTCCCCCAAACCCCCACCACCACCTCTGACAGTGCAGACTCTGCCAGGCAGAACCTCCAACTATTGCAGGTGTGTCAGGAACAAACTGGTGGATGGGAGCTCTCTGTCTGCCTATTCCCATCTTGGTGCCTCTCAAATAAATCATAGTAAAAAAAACCCTGACAAATTACAAAGACAAAAGCCCGCATATAATGTCAAAGAAATAAAAATGGTGAACCCAGGTGAAGCCAGGGTCCCTGACATCAAGGCTGGAATGAGTCTTTGTGGGCAGGGCCTGTCCTGAGCCTGGAAGGGCATTTAGCAGTGACCTTGACCTCCAAGCAATATCTTCCCAGATTGGGACAACCCCAATGTCCCCATTCAGTGCCAAGTGTCACAATGGCACCTGCCCGGCTGCTGGACCAGGGCTAGGCGAGGCCGGACGCTAGCGGGGCACACACCTGTTGAGGAAGATGCTGCTGACATCATCGTGTGTGATGGGCGGCTTCTTGGAGCTGGCGGCCATGCGCAGCGGGCGCAGGAAGTTGTTGACAAGGATGTGCAGCTGCTGCACGTACTCGGCCTCGGCCTCCAGCATGCTGAACACCACCTGGTTCCTCTTGCGCATGCTGTCGGCGTGCGGGGACCGGATGTAGTCCTGGATGATTGTCTTCCACTTCCGCCTGCACAGCCAGCCCCTCAGGAAGCTCTGCACCTGCAGGCCAGGGCCGAGAGGTTGAATTTTGGCTGGCCATGCTCGTCCTTGGTCCTGGAGGGCAGGGACCAAGGCTGGCTGTCTGGTGAGTGGGGAGGGCTAGGCCTGGGTCTGGCTGTGCCGTGTGTTCCCTGGAGCCAACCTTGCTATGTATAGGCTAGGGCTAATGTGGTGAGGGCTGGACTCAGAGTGCCGCTGGTCAGACATGCAGATTCCCAGGCCCCACCCCTGCACACTGCCTTTTGATAAGGTCCTCGGTTACATCAAAGGCATCCCTGGTCCAGATCTCCATGACAGGAAGTGGCTCAAGGATGGAGGCAGGCCGGGGCTTGCTCGCTCACACCTTGTCTGGTCTTGTGATGTGAACCCCCCACAAAGCCCAGCAGCTTCTCTTACAGCTCATTCGGAGAGAGGGTGAGGACCCACTTGAATGGTACATGATATGCTGGCTAATCTCAGGCTTGGGCCTCTTGGACAGCTCCTGGGGAGGTGGTTGTGGACACTGGACTGAGTTGTCCTGGAGTTGAACTGCTCAGAGCAGCCTGTACCAGGCACTTGAGCACCCACAGAGGGGGCCCACCCAGCTAGCTCCTGGTCACTGCTGCTGCCTTGGGTGGACATTGGTTGGGGGAGGGGAACATGGGGGCAGGCAGAAGGGCTCCTCCAAGTATTCTACAGAGGCCACCAGCAGCCAGGGTTGTGTGCTGTGGAAAAGCAAGGCCTTGCTGAGTTCAGCAGGTGTCTCTGAAGACAGGGGTAGGGGCGGGGGTCCTCCGCGGCTCCCCAGGTGGACCTTGTATGTCTCCCTGTTCCAGGCCCAGGCACACAGGGATGGCATCTACTCTGCCACCGCTCTGCTGTGCGGCCTTGGGTGAGATCCTTCGCCTCTCTCTGTGGCTCAGCTTTCCCCCGGAGTGTGAGATGGAGCTAATCATGAAGACCTCAGGGCGTTTCGGTGAGGATTAAATGAGTCTGCGTCAGGGCTCTGGGAATAGCATCTGGCGTGTGGAAAGTGGTTAACGAAGGTTGGCTGTTTCTATTTCTGAGAAGACAGAAACCCCAAGTGCTGGGTAAAGTGTTTGGATCTGCAGGCGCTGCAACGCACTCAGAGCAAACACACATGCAAGAGACCATGTGGCTTGGAAAACCCCCAAACCCTCGGTGGCTGAACTTTGGGGATCCATCTTGCAACTTCTCGTCTGGGGGATGCTGGGCTCCTTTTGTACCTTAACCAATAGGAGTCTCTGGTTTTCCTTGCTCTTCTTAGTGTGAGCTGGGCTCATGTGATAACTTGGTGAAGGGTCTACATGCATTTCCATGTGGAGTTGGGGAGAGTGTTGGGGGCAGATGTGGGGGTGGGGCAGGGCTCAGGAGCTATCCAGGCCCAGGTCTGACCTGCTGCAAAGCAAACCTCTGCCTCATGCCCTCTCAGGGGCTTTGTGGAGGGGGAATATGCCTGGTACCTCCTGAGATGTGACCCCCCCAGGGCCCTAATGGGACAAAGGCAGCACGTGTCCATCAGGGGCCTTAGGGGCTGGACTCATGCTGAGGAGGTCTGCTGGGGTCTTAGGTGGAAGCTGTGGGAGGTGGTATGTGCATGGCAGTGGTAGGGGGCTGCATGCGAAGGGGGGATGGTGGGGGTGTGGCCGAGGAGGTCTGGATGCCGCTGCCTGGTGCTGTGAAGACAGTTCCGGCTGAGAGCCCAAGGCCTGGGGGTGCCTGGCTGGAACCCCAATTTAACCCCTTATCTATGAAATTGGAATGGACTATCTTTACTCCTAAGGAAACCTCCCCCCCCCAAAAAAAATAGGCTGGCAAGGGACCTGGGGAGGGTGGGTGTGTGGAGTGTCCCCGGGGAAGAGTGGGACAACAGGGGAACATAAAAAGGTCCCCTCCTCCCGGAGGGGTGGTGCAGACCTTCTTAATCTTCTTGATGTCACTGTCCTCGTCATTGGGGGCGACAGTCTGGGTGGACTGGATGCGCTCATTGTCCTTCAGCAGGGACGCGATCTGCAAGGGAAACACAGGTCTGTCGCCAGCCAGGAGGGGCAGCCATACCGGGCACATCGTGGCCCCTGAGTGCCTCCTCTCTTCTCTGGGAGTCAGTGAGGCTCCAGGGTGACCCCCGCTCTGTGTGTCCAGCAGACACGTCCTCTCCCCGCCCCCTGCCCCATCTGTTCTCTCCTCCCCCCTCCATTCTGGGGGTCTGTGACCCTGGACAAGTCCCCTTTGTTCCCAGGGCTGCTGCAGCTGCCTCATTGGGAATCTGAGAGCTTTGTCCTACCTCTGGGACTGTCCACCTGATGCAACTGCTCCCTTCTATACTGAAGTTTCTATTGTAGGAAAATAGAGGTGCCGTGAAACACAAAGCTGATCATCTTAGCCACCTCAAGTAGCCCCTGCTGTGCTCCAGGGTCTGCATTAGCAGGAAGCTGAGCTGGTGTCCCCAGCACCACCCAGAAACTCCTCGACACCTCATTGCACAAAACTGAAAACTCTGTCCCCTGCAGTGGCAGCTCCACGTCCCCCAGATCGCCCAGCCCCAGCCCCTCCCTTCTGTCTCTGTGACTTGACCGCTAACAGTGGACTCACACACAGGTGTCCTGGGCTTTCTGCCACTGGCTGGCTCTGCTTAGTGTTATCCTCAGGGAGCAGTGTCAGGTTTGCCTTCCTGTTGATGGCTGAGTAATATTCCACCCTGTCCCTCTCCTGCAGTTTGCTTATCCATCCAGCCTCTCTGGGATGAGTGGGTACTCCCCTTAGCTTTGCAAGCAGAACTGCTCCTAGATAGCTACAACAGCAGGCATCCTCCAGAGGGCCTGCTGGCCTGGCTGGTGCTTCCCTGGGCTGTCCTGGGTACTGCTAGGAGCTAGAAGCCTGTGGGAGCATGATCTGGAGTCTACTGATCCAGGAAAAGCAGAATGAACACTCTGGACGTATCAAAAATTAGCCTTGCTGAAACCCAGGGCTGAAGCTGCAAAGAGAGCCACCTGCAGGCATGCTGTGCAGCCATTCCTGTGGGCATCCTTTTGGGGACTGCAGGTCCTCACGTGCATCCCGTGTTAGGGCCCCCAGGATTTCCTCCTGATGATGCTGGCATGCTGTGTCTCTCCTCCTTCGTGCTCCCCACCAGCGAGCGTCATGGGAGGAGGGGGCCGCAAGCACTTCATTCATTAATGGGTTCCCTGTGCCTGAGCAGGAGGCTGCTCTCCACGCGTCCTTGGACGCTTGCTAGATAAGTGAGTTTTAAAAAGGATCAGAGCTGCAGCCACCGCCGCCGAAAGCAGGAGCAGAGGGCAGGAGCAGGCAGCACTGGCTGCGCAGAGGACCACGAAGTCCCACGCGTCTCAAGATAATAGCTACAAATGCTGGCTCTTCAGGACGCGCGGCTGGGCCGTCTCAAGGTCGTTGGCCCAGCCAGAATGAATGGGCTCTCGCGACTGAGTGCATCTAGCACTTTGAAAGCAAAATGGAGCAGCTGCCTGCTCTCCACTCCTGCCTGCTAAAATTACCCGTCAATGTTGGAAGCACAGCTGAAAGAAAATACCTGAGACATGGGTGCCGCCTCCGGAGAGCCACTTCCCTTTCTCTTCCCGGCCTCCCCTCCTCCTTTTTCCAGCACCCTTGGGAATATTTGCACAGTGAAATAATGCTGGTTTTGGCTAAAGTGTCCCCTCCCCTGCCGTGAGGTCAGACACCACCAAGTGCAGCCAGCCCCTTTACCTGATCTGCTAACACCCCTTCTGAACTACTTCGCTTCCTCTGCCTGATTGGGGGTTTGCTCAGAGCTCCCCTTTTCTCTTGAGAATGCTGTGTGTGTGTGTGTGTGTGTGTGTGTGTGTGTGTGTGTGTGTGTGTATACTTAATAATGGCCGTGTGCTTCTCAGAGACAGGCATTCCAGGATATGTGCTCAGCAAGGGACCAGGGCAAAAATAGCTGCAATTAGGTCAGACCCCATGCTGCAAGCGCAGGCAACTCTGGCATCCTGGGCACCTTTATTTAAGCAGCAGGCTGGGTGGACAAAGCGCCCCAAGGTGTTGAACCTGGGGAGCCTGCAGAAGTCTAGCTGGGGAGTGGGAGAGGGCAGGGCGGTAGAAGCCCCAGGCTGTGAGAACCCCCAGGGCCAACCTTTCCCCAAACGCTGCCAGGTGCTTTCTGGAAATGAACTTGCCCTGGCCGCTGGTTGTTTGGGTAGACACTTGTTAATAATGGCCAAATGAACTGTGTCCCTCCCCCTGCCCTGGACACATTGCCTGACGCTGCACCTGGTGTCTCCACTGGCCCCTGCTCGCCTGCGACTTGCAGACTGGCTTTCTCTGGTCATGGTGACAGGCTCCTCTTTGGGTATCTAAGCCCTTGTAGACCCTGGTCATTGGCTGCTGCCCTGCCCTGTCCTGCGCCCTTCTCTTGGGGAGACATTCTCTAATCCATAGTGCATTTCCTCAGCATGGGAACTAACAGTGGAATTGACTCAGGTGTTTTTTCTTTCTTCAAGTGGCCCAGGATCTTTGCATGTCCTGCTTTATAAACAGCTACCACAAGACCCAGCCCTTGCCTTCCCTCTGGCCCCCTCACCCCTGTCTCCGTCTGTGCCACATCCATGAACACATCCTAAAGGTGCCTCTGCATTGGATACACATGGGGGAACTGGAGACACAGAGAGGCAAGTGGCAATGCTGACCCCTTCCCTAGAGGGGTTCCCAGCTGGATGTGGGGGTCAAGGGATGGGAGGACTTCACCATGGTCTTGGCAAAGGCTGTCCAGAAGATGTTTTAAAGGATGAATAGGAGTCCTCTGGGCAGGCGATGGAAGGGAGCGATTTGAGAGGAGGGAATACTGTGAACGGAGGCATATAGGGTTGTGTGCCAGAATAGCAGGTGCTTGGGGTTGGGAAGAGAGATGGGGAGCCCACAGTCATCTCTTTAGGTCTTTCACGAGCTGTTCATCTGGGAGTCAGAGCCAAGAAAGCATCATGAGTGCCCATGAGCACTTAGTCCTCAGCACCTGTCTCCCCTCTGCCAGGGCACTTCCAACAAATGGGAGAAAGGAGCGGTGAAAACATGGCAGAAGGAGCCAAGCTGAGCATCCCAGGGGAAGGCAAGCACTGTCACCTGTCACTGACCTGTTACATAGCTGGGGTCAGAGGGGACAGAGGGAGGAGAGTGAGGCTGGCATTGAGGATGGGTGACCTTTAGCAGGGTCAAGGGTCTGCTGCTGCTACCTTGACCTTTTTAGAAGACATGCCTCTTTATTTTGCCCTAGACCCTGCAGATCACACGGCTGATCTTGACTAAAGGGTGCAGGGCAGGGTCCTTGGCCTAGCAATGAAGACTTCTCATGTTGGAGTAGCTGTGGCATTGCTCCTGGATTCCAGCCTTTTGCTAAGGCAGACCCTGGGAGTGTGGAATGGCTCAGCAGGGGGTGGCTCAATCCACTGGGCTCCTGCCACCCACACGGAAGACCAAGACTGAATTCCTGACTCCCTTCTGGGTCACTGGGTGAGAGAGCAGCCATGTGGGAGGACAATCTTCCTGTGGGGAAGAAGGTGGCAACAAGGACAGATCTGGGGTCAGTGGTCTGAGTTGGGCACCTCTCTGCTGGAGGGAGTCACATGGCCTGAGGTCTTTCCTCTTTCTGCCATCTCCTCAGACAGTATCCACCTCTGATGCGCCAGGATGGTAGAGCATCCTGCTCACCTGAGGCTACCTCCTCAGGCATGAGCAAGAAATCTTTCCTAATCTGATCTCTTCAAGTTGCCTTTAAAAGCATCTTTTGGCTGCAGGGCAGGGCATGCAACTGGAAGCCCTGCTCCAAATTCCCACCAAATAGGTCTCTAATGGCTTTGAAACGTGCGTGAGTGCATGCATGCACACCCCTGCGCATATGCATGCTCACTCCTGACTCACTGGCTCTCCCAGGGTCAACAGGGGAACTCAAAGCCTCCCTGGGCTGTGGATCATTCACTTCCTGACACAGGCTGCAACAACCAGCTCTGCTGTGATCCTGATCTGGCCAAACCTGCAAGGGCAAACTCCTGCATCTCTAGCACCCCCCACCAGAGTGAGACTTTCCCTTCATTCATTCATTCACTCATTCATTTCTTTGTCAAACTTTCACTGAGCGTTTACTACGTACCAGGCAAGAGGGCAAGGGTGGAAAGCTGCTGCCAGGCAGGGTGGGTGGGACAGCAGACATGGAGCTGGCTCTTACAGTGGGTACAGGGTATGGGCCAGAAGAGAGGCAGGCCACAGCCAGCAGACCCCAAGAAGGAGGGTTTGTGTTCAGTAGGACTTTGCTTGCTTTTGGGGACCTGGACGGGGCTAGGAGAGCTCTCTGCTTTGATCCCAGCTTGAGCCATATGGACTGCTGAGGGGACAGCTTGGAGTTGGGCTGTGTCAGGCTAGGAAAATGGGAAAGCAGATAGGAGACCTGTGGGTTTTCCACCCCATGAGCTTGGGCAGGTGATGTAGGCTCTCTGAGTGGTTCCTCCTGGGCATCTTGAAATTCCTCTGTGCATCGTTTCCTAAGTGGAGTTTGAATGGCCCATGGTGTATACCCCATCCTGTGTGGTCCTCCCTCTCATCGCCTTCACCTCTTTCACTGGATGGGTTCTCAGCTACCTGTTCCCCATACTCTGGCACCCCAAGACCTCTGCCACCCTATGCAGACAGCCCATGGGTTAACTCAGCCGGCAAACACCCACTTCCTAACACTCGCCAGAGCCTTGGTGATGGAGGTGTGGGTGATACCCAATAGGCATCCCATCTCACAACAGCCTAGTGCCAGGCAAGATGGCACCATGGGTCCTCTTCTAATCCAGGTCCTGGTAGGGGGGACTGGAGGTGGAGTTTGACGGCACAGACACAAGTCTCAGCATTCATGTGACTCAGTGTGACAACCCTGCCCGCCCTGGAGCAGGCATTGTTAGATGCATGTCCTTAGCCAGGTTGCAGTTGAGGGAAGGAAGGAGATTTGCCTGACCCTAACCTGGGCCTTGCATTTTGCCTGGCACTTGGGTCTGCACATCGTGTATGTAGCCGACTCATCCCATAGATTGATGGTTTTTGTCCTCCCCTCATTCCCCACAGTCATTTTGTGATATTGCTAGAGGTCTGTGAGTATGCTGATGGGATGAAGGATGGTCAGGTTTACCCTGTGGGGGGTTGGAGAAGGGACAGGAGCAGGGCCACACTTCCAAGCTTTTATCATGAGTTGGAATCACACGGGATGGTGTTAAAAATGCTGGCACAATGGCTCAATGGCCAAGATCTTATCTTGGAAGTGTCAGGATCCCATATCAGTGCTAGTTTGTGTCTGGCTATTTCACTTCCCATCCAGCTCCCTGCTTGTGGCTTGGGAAAGCAGTAGAGGATGGCCCAAAGCCTTGGGACCCTGCACCCATGTGGGAGACCTGGCGGAAACTCCTGGTTTGGATTGGCTCAGCTCTGGTCATCTCTCTGTCTCCATAAACCCGACTTGTTTTTATAAAAAAATTTAAAAAAAGGTCTTTTAAAAAATGATAAAATAAAAAAAAATGCAGATTGTTGTTCAGGAGGTTGGGGTGGGGTGGGATTCACTAGAACCACCTGCTTGCCACCCTCAGCCTCTTGAGTCTTGGGCCCATCCTGGGCATCAGCAGAGTCACCTAGGGACATGCCCGTGGGTCACCCTGCTTCACATTCACAACCTTGACAGTGAGGAGAAGAAAGCCCCATCTCACAGGGGCCTTGCTCCAAACGCTGTAGGCAGAGCTGGGAGTGGAGCTAGTCTGCACACAGGGCCCTCCCGGTCTGCCCCACTTCCCCATGCCATCCGGGGAGCTCCCTGCCCACAGCCACCTCCGCCTTCAGCCGCTCAATCTCAATCTCTCCGTCCTCGATCTGCTGCCGCAGCTGCTTGGCCACTGTCTTCTCCGTCTCCACGATCTGGAGCAGGTGCAGGTACTTCTGCATTAGCGCTTCATGCTCGGTGGCCAGGGTCCGGTAGCTGTGCGAGGATAAGACAGGACACATGGTGACATGGCAGTTACCAGACTGTTCCCTGGTGACCTCACAGTTTCTTCCTTTCCCAAACCCTTGACCCCACACTCAGACCTCTGGCCACTCCCGCTGGGCCTGGGCATGCTCTGCCTTGTTCACTTTCATTCTCACAGCATTCACACAGCATTCTCCCGCTAGGTCTCTGCTCTTTCGCAAACATGTCTGCTCTTTCCTTTTTCCATTGGTTTAGCTCCATCCTCTCTCCTGGGCCAGCTCTGGGCCCTGGTTGAAAAGCCACCCTGTCCAACATGTCCTCTCTGGTGGCTCCCAGGTTTCCTGGGGGTCCCGACAGCATCCAGGTTCCCATGTCCACAGCAGTGGCCACACTGCTGCAGCCTGGGACATGTCTGAGTTGTTTGCTCATGGATCCCAGGGCCTGAGGCTTGGCAGGTGAAGAAGCTTGGGGAACATGTGCCACGTGGATGGGGGTGTCAGGTTCTATAGGATACACAGAGGAGGGGCTACAAGAAGTTCACGGGGAGTGCATACACAGGGACTGGTGTTTCAATGCGTTCAGTTAATGCCAGCATCAGTGTCCCATAGCAGAGTGCTGGTTTGAGTCCCAGCTGCTTCACTTCCAGTCTAGTTCCCTGCTGATGTGTCAGGGGAGACCGCAACACAAGACGGCCTGAGTAGTTGGGCTCCAGCCATCCACATGGGAGACCCGGATGGATTTCCAGGCTCCTGGCTTTGGTCTGGTCCAGCCCTGGTTGTTGCAGTCACTTGGGGAGTGATGGAAGATTTGCTCTCCCTGTCTCTCCTCCCTGTCACTCTACCTTTCAAAAATAAAATTTCAATGTGAATACTATGAAAAAATTCGTGGATTTTAATATTTTTTTTGCATCCAAACAGACTCATCTTTTTTTAAAGATTTGAAAGTCAGATATACAGAGAGGAGGAGAGACAGAAAAGAAGATCTTCTGTCTGATGATCTACTCCCTAAGTGACCAAACAGCCAGAGCTGAACCAATCCAAAGCCAGGAGCTAGGAACTTCCTCCAGGTCTCCCACATGGGTGCAGGGTCCCAAGGCTTTGGGCCGTCCTCGACTGCTTTCCCAAGCCACAAGCAGGGAGCTGGATGGGAAGTGGAGCTGCCGGGATTAGAACCGGCACCCATATGGGATCCCAGTGCATGTTCAAGGTTAGGATTTTAGCTGCTAGGCCACAGTGCCAGGCCCTAGACTCATCTTCCAATTCCATTTTTCATGAACTTTGTCCTCATCCACATTTGTCTCATTGTTCGGGGCACCTGAAGAACCTGTACCAGGTGCACCTGAGTGCCATGCCATGTGGTACAGCTTTGGCTGTCAGTGCTGTGACACTTGGAATCAGGAAGTATTTCCTGGAGGAGGAAGAGACCCCCTGCCTTTGATTCTAAGCTCAGTGGTCTGGACACACACATCAAAAGGTAAGAATGGGAAGAAGGCCTGCATGGGGGCCTGAGCGGCAGTGGTGTTGAATTGCAAGGTGTCATCAGATTGACAGGCATCCCTGGGGGTGATGGTGTGAGAGACCAGTCCCATCACTGGTGCGTCTTGGCGTGACATAGATGTGAAGAGTCCCAGGTAGGGTAGGGGCACCTAGCAGATTAACAAGTCTGGGAGATCAAATGACTTGTCCTCGGTTTCCTTCCTCTGTGGACAGCACCAGGAGGCTGTTGTTGGGGTCAGTGTTAACTTGGTTGAAGAGGGCCTAGCCCTGGTGGGCAGTGCCTGGGTCCATCCCAGCAGGGACTTCGAAAGGCACATGCCTTTCAGAGAGAAAGCTTGGCGTCCTTGGCTGTGTCTGTCCTTAGATCTAGCCCTTGGTCCCCTACTTCATGTCCTATCCCTGGATCCCTTGTGAACCCCTCTTCTCTGTCCCTCCCACAGCCAGCCGCAGTCTCCACCCACAGCCTCTCATCTCACTTCATCCCTGCCACAGTCTCCACCACTGCCTTCTACCACCGTCTACTGCCTTGCACAACTCAAACTCCAGACCCGAGTCTGTCCTTGGTCTGCTTGGTGGGTGGTGGAAGGGGTCCTGCTTTGTCTCGCCTAGCCCTGGCACAACCTCCCACAGATCCTTGACCTCTGACCCGGCTTGCCTGGGCTCAGCACCAGCTCCCATGCCCACTTGCTGAAGGGGCCTTTGCCCACTTGCTGAAGGGGCCTTTGCCTGGAAATGGGGAAGGAACCGGTGATTACCCTGCAGAGTTGCTGTGAGGGCTGTCTCAGCGTCACACAAGGAGAAATCTGAGGCCATGCTGGGTACCTGTTGGTTGTGATGCCCCAGGGACCCCCTCACTCTCTGCTCTGCCCCTGCCCAAGCCTAGGGGCCTACCCTGGCCTCCCTTCAATGCTCTGCCCTCTACAGAGCCTTCTTTCCTGGAGTAGCTCCTGGCTGTGTCCCTCACCTCTCCTACACCAGCAGATGGGAAGCCACAGTGCCAAGCTATTTCCCAGGATCCTCTCCCTGCAGTCCACCTGGCAGTGACCTCTTGGTTGGGAAGGTGGCCTGGCTCATAGTGCTCATTTTCTCTCTTCCTGTTGGCTTTGGGTGTTGGCCACCTGCACCCAAAAGAGCTGGGCCCAACTCGTTGCTATTGACCCAATCAAGGGATGCCTGCCTGCTCTTCAGGCTGGCCTTTCCCAGCATGAGCTTCTGGCCATCCAGCACAAGATGCATGCATGGGGGTCACACCAGGGAGGACATAGGAGCTGTGTTACCCAAGCTCATATGGCCTCTGTGGCTCCCGTGGCACCAGAGACAGTGGCAGGTATGAGGGGGAGACCCCATGGGGTCCCTGTGCTGTGGTCAGGTGGGGCTGATAGGGATAGGGAGGCATAAGAGGAGCTTCCCAGTGAAGACAGCTGACTTCACTGTGGTGGGTGGGGTGGGAGGGCATGGGCTGGAGCAGAGGCAGGGAGAGGAGAAATCTGGTGTGGAGGGCAAGTGTCTGGGCTCGTTCCTGCTGAAGGAAGCAGCAGCTGGCAGGGCATGCTCCTGTGTGCAGCTCTGGCTCAGGTCTTGGTGGAGCTGTGTTCCTACGATCAGGTTTTATAGCCATCACAATGCCCCAAAGGACTCAGCTTCCTTCTTGTTGAAGATCAGCATGGGAACCCTCTCATCTGTCTTCTCTTGAGGATGGGAGCCCGAGCTGGTCCGTATAGGGCTTGTTGCCTCCCCCCTCCACAACCCTAACTGTCCAACAGATATTTCCTGGGCACCTCGGGGTGCAAACAGATCCAGGTCCTTGGAGCAAGAAGGAACTCAGCAATCTGGAAAGGTATGAATACAGAGGCCAAGGCCCAGGAGCAAAAGTGACTTTCCCCAAATGACAGCTGATTAGTGACAAAGTGAGAGCCAGAGCAGCGGTGGTCTGAGTCCCTTGCCTGAAACCTGCACAGTTTGCACTTTACTCTTTGCCCTGCCCATGATGCACACACGTAACCATGCCCTGGCTGGCACACATCCAGCATGAGGGAGCCTTGTATCTGCACAGATGTGAATACCCTACAGTGCCTATGTTCGCACACAGAATGCATCCATTACGTGTATGTAAATAAAAACTAACTTGGGAATATGTAAAATGCTCAATATTCAAGATGATTCTGGAAGAGAGCCAGTTTCTCACTTCACATGCATGAGGGGCACACACATGAACACACACATGCACACACAATGCACAGGGCAGGCAGATGCACATGTATGTGTATTCATCCTCAGCACACGTGTGCAGTTGCAACACAACCATACACACGTCCACATGCATTCACACATGAACACATGCACACCTACACAGGCATGTGCACACAATACACACACGTGAGGTGTGAGGCCCTGTAAAGCTCGGGATTTGTGCCTTCCCCTTTCAGCTGGCAGCCAGTTCCCTGGATAAGCATGTGATGGCTTGTGCACGCCAGGCAACCTTAGCTCAGCCAGCCTGCTACTGTGATGCTTCTGAGGGAAGGTGACTCAGTTTCCCTTGTGAGCACATCATTATGCCCTGCTCCCAACTGAAAGGAAAGGCATCCCTATGAGGCCAGTGGGTTGACCCAAATGTCAGCTGCACACTCCTACCCCCTGGCACAGCTCCAGTTCCCTAGAGGTTTATGCAAGGTTTCTATTCAGAGGCACCATTCCCTTTGCCAGGGAGCGGGAGAGCAGATGCCAGTTTGGGTCCATCTGCACCACCTGGGAGCCTTGGGATCCTATGCTGGGAGACAGGCTCCAGGGTGTCACAGCCTCTGTTCCCACTCTCACCCCATGCAGGGCCCTAAGGAGCCTATACACAGCAGAGGAGAGGGTGGGAGACAGAAGGGAACTGGCAGGACTGGTGAGGGTGCACCTGGAGTAAGTGATTCTGTCGGAGCTAGCTTCCCACCGAGTAGATGTCTCTCTGTGTGTATCATGTATGACAGCCCTGTGTGTCTCTGACGAGTTGGACACTAGGCTGTGGTCCAGGGGTGGATGGGGGTGTTGCCTTTCAGAGTGGATTTCTCTCTGGCTGATTGGAATCTCAACAAATGTGAGACTGGGGAGTTGTTGGCCCAATGGAGGAGGTCATGGATGTGGAGCTGGGGGTGGCTTCCAGGAAGCAGAGAACTGGCAAGGAATCAGGGGCATCAGTCTTAACCAGGGCCATGGAACTGGATCTGGTTACCGGGCAAAATGAACTCAGGAGCTGAGTCTCCCCTGTACCCTCCAGACTGAGTCTGGCCTGGCTGACTTGTGGCTTTCAGTCCTGGGAGGACCCTGGGAAGGGCGATGCCAGGGTGGAGTCCTCTGCAGGCCCAGACTGTGAGATGGTGGGGGCAGGTGCTGCATCAAAGTGTGGCGTATGTGAGTGAGTGTGTGTGGTGATCCACTATGCAGATGGGAAACTAAAGCACTATGTCTGAAGTGAATGTACTGGCAGGCACCTGAAAACATGTTCAGAAAAACATGGTGGAAAGAAATGTTTATTTAATTGTAAAAAGTTTTGGAATTCATGTGGAGTGTTTTCATGAAGTTTTGAAGACCTGTACACATGCATTTCAACTTATTTTTGCACCAAAATAAGCTCCCTCTCCTTACTTCTTTTCAGAGAGAGAGAGAGAGGAGAGAGAGAGAAGAGAGAAAGAGAGAGGGGAAACCACTGGTTTGCAACCCAAATGCCTGCAATGGCTGAGGCTAGAACAAACCAAAGCCAGGAGCTGGGAACTCAGTCCTTCCTGGTCTTCCATTTCTCTCTCTCTTCATCCATCCATTCATACACATACATTCATCCACTCATACATCCATACTTCTATCTGACCATCAATTATCTATCTTTTCATCTACCTATCCATCCACATTCCTTGCAACCCTCATCCACTTATCCTCCAAATATAAACCCAACCTCAATCTTGACTCCATTCTCCTTCCCTTAATCCTTTCATCTCTCCCTCCCTTCATTCACTCCTGCATTCTTCCCACCCGTATGTGCTGGGCACCGCTTCTGTGCTTTTTTCAGGCTCAGATGACACCAAGACTCACACCTCACCCTGGTGTCGGTTGCGTTCATTGTAAGACAGCAAAGTAGCCACAGAGACGCATCCCTGACCACTCAGCCAGATCGGCTGCCCACAGAATCTGCTGCTCAGAGGTGCTATAGATTCTGGCAGTCCTTGGCTCTGTCAGCTCTTGCTACATCTCAGCCCGCAAAACCCATCACTTCCCCAAAGCCTCAAGGGCTCAGCCTGCTCCTCTTCCCAGGGTTTGTCTTGGCTCCCAGGCAGAGCCCTGGGGTTCCAGCCCTAGTGGGGGTGGGGGAGGGAGGAATGGTGGGGTACTTCCTGTCCTGGGGTTGGGTGACACGTACCTGGCGTGAGCGATGGCTGCCACCCATTCGTCACAATCCTTCGCATCCTCTGTCCTGAGCTCCAAGGCCTTCTGGTTCTCATGGGTGAAGTTCACCGTGAAGTAATGCTGCAGGGAGAGGGAGACGGCTTCAGTCAGCAGGGGGCCACAGGCCAGCTGCCGCCTCCACTGCACACACTGCATGATTGTGGCAGTTAGGGTACAAAACCCATACTTGGGTTGGAGGAAGGAAGCTTCCTTCCCACCAAGCTCCATCTGTGCCAACAAATGGCCAAAAAGGCCACTTGTAAACTATCAGGTATACTTGGAGGGGATAGAGGGAGCGGGAAGCACACTGAGAAAAGGCCCCTGGGAGCTGGGTGATGAATCAGGGCAGCACGTGTCTAATTCACTCCACCAATACCAAGAGGCCCCTTTCTCTGTGCTGGGGTTAGAGCAGGGGCTCAGCAGACATAGCTCATGTGAGAGCCCATTGGAGACCCCATCTGTCAGGTGCAGGTGCTGACTGCGGGCCGAGTCAGCCTCCAGGCTTATTTTCTGAGATAGAAGCGAACGGGAGGAGCTAGAGTGAGATTCCAATACAGCTTTTTGGAGCAAGGGCTGGCATTGAGTGAGCACCATGTGTTTGCTTGTGTTGAATGTAGTGCCATCTTATTCTGGAATGACCAGAGAGGGTGCCCGTCAGCCTCTCCTTCCCCCACCTGCCAGTTGCTGGGTGTCAGGGAGCAGCACAAGGCACAGTGTGCAAATTGATTGTGGCTTCTGCTGACATTTCCTGAATTTCTGCTCATCGCCCATCTAGGTGGCAGCCAGGGTGAGTGCGAGAGGCTGGGGGGTGTGGTTGCCGAGTGCAAGGCTCTCACTTGTTTCCTAGGAAACAGGTGACTGCGGCCCGGGAAGGAGATGCCAGTTACAGCCTGGAATAATGGAATCCAGGAGGCTCTAGTGGGTAAGGGATGCAGGGTAAGGACAGAATTGAACACAGACACACACACACACACACACACACACACACACACACACACACACACACACACACACCCTGGGGTTCTCCCACTGGGTGACGAGTGTTATCCATTTGACACCCAGAACTCAGAGAGGCCAGGCCATTTGCTTAAGACCACGCAGCTGGAAACCACACCTGGTCTCAGGGGTATCCAAGACCAAGGCAAGTCCTAGGAGGCCAGACTCAGGGGATTGGGGTTAGGAGTTGCCAGGTTCCTTTAGAACCCCCTGGGGAATGTTCCAGTGCTGGAGGGGCCACAGCAGGAGGGGTGCTTGCCCCACTGGGCTTCCTGGGGGACCCAGAGCTCCTGACTCAGGGAAAGGCTGGGAGGCAGTGGTGGGGGGATGGTGCACACTCTCAGAGATGCAGCGGATGCTGGCCTGGGCTGAAACCCCTCCCTCCCTGCACAGACCCCTCCACTTCAACCTGCCTCCCCAACTTGAGCCCTGCAAAAGTGGAGAAGACAGAATGTGAAGTTTCCAACCACGCAAAAGAGAACCAGAAAGATGCCACAGGCTGCAGGGACCCCGGTGTCCGACAGGAGCAGGACGCTCTGCTCTCTGGCCTCTGACCAGAAGGAGAGGACCTGATACCTTTCAGAAGCCTGTCTCAGGTGTGCTGAAGACTCCCTCCTGTCCCCCACAGCAGGTGCTGCCCATCTGGGACATCTGTGAGGCCTCACTTGGTCATCATCACTCCAGGCAAGCCTCAATGCTCCCTATCTCTGATCCTCCTTGAGGACATGGCCTTAATGTTGAGAGATCAGCAGGCTGGAGGGTCAGGTGAAGTGGTTGGAGGTAGAAGGATGGGCATGGAGACTTTGGGGAGAGGAGGTATGACCTGCAGAGACTCCGTGCGTCCGAGCAAGCAGGTTCTTGGTGCTAGGCAGGGAGCAGAATGCTCCCAGAACCTGGGACACAGGTGTGCAGTCCCGAGAGCTGCAGGAGTTCCAGCCAGAGGGAGAGCCTGTCACGAACAGAACCCCAGGTGCTGGGTTCTTAACACATACCACCCTGTAGGAGACACAACCACTTCAGGAGCTAAAAGTATAGAAGGGATACTAGAAAGGTCATGGAAAATGTATGCCACTTAATTCTTCATATTTTGCATATCAGTGGCTTTTAATGCCTTTTGCCAAGAGCTTCCTGAAGTTCCTCGCGCCCCTCCCATCATCTCCACATTTGGGCAGGAGGTTGTCCAAGGGCAGGCAGCTCAGGCATGGGTGAGGGTTTGGGGGTCCCCTGACTTTCTCCTACTCACAGGATGGCCTTGTGGCCTGGCTGAACTGCCCAGGATCATGGACGGTGCCAGGCAGGCCCTGAGTCTGCTTTAACTGGCACCAAGTGAGCACCTATGCATGCTGGAATGCATGGTTAAGGCATTAGACGGATGTAGAAGCCCTGACCCTGAGGTTCTCCCTGAGGCACCCAGAAAGCAGTGGTCCTGGCCTCAGCCACTCTTGTTTGGGTTGACGATGGCGCCTCTGGAGACCTGCAGAGGTCAGGACTTTGAACTCACTGCCCTTGGTTAGCAGGGGTCAACATCACAGTGGAGCTTGCTCCCATGTAAGCAGAGCCCTGAGGAGTGAGGACTGGGGTGATGCAGTTTGCTCTGTGCCAGGCTCTTTTTCTCATCTCCATCTTGCTCCCAGGAGAGAGGAGAGGCAGAACAAATGCAAAGGGCATTACAAGTGGGGGAGAGGGAGGATCTGGGGACCAAGGAGGGGACTTCCTGCTGCCTAGGATGAGAATCTCTCAGTCCCCCTGCTGACAAAGCCTTGCATTCTGTTTCCTGACCTCCTTTGCTGCTGGCATTAGGACAATGTTGACCACTCACAAATGCCCCAAGAACATCATAGTCAAACCCCTTCTGTCACCACCTAGGCTTTGTTGTCACCCTCTGTAGTGCCTGCGGAACACCCTGGCCTTCACCAGGGGCTCTGGGAGCAAGGCTAACCTTGATGGAGGAGGTTCTCCTCCCCTCCCCCTGGCCAGGCTCCCCATCACAGGGCATCCCCGTGGCACTCTCTTTTGAGTGGGTGTTTGGTTCTGATTGGTGGTGGGGGGTGTGGACCATTGATTTACACAGGTTGGGGGCCAGGGGAGGCTTTGGCATCCCTGGCACCTTCTGGGAGTGTGGAAATAGAGATCACATGGAATCCTTAGGGTTGGGCTCAGCCAGGTTCATGGTTCGATTTGGATCAAGGCGCCCTACCCCATTAGACCTCACCTGGGAGACCCTCTCTAGTTGGGAGCCAGTTTCTGGGGGGCAAATGGATGGAAGTAAAAAATGGTTCTAATCATGGGGGAAGAGAAGGGTGTTAATCTCCTTACATATCTGGGGTGACAACAGGGTAAGTGGTGGCACTGTGTCTTGTGGGAACTGTGGCTGCTGGCACCAGGTTCATGGAAAATGTGTTCTATGAAAAAGCTAGACATGGATTGAAAAAATTTGATTTGCACCCAAGTAAATTTAATATTGTAGTTCCATTTCCATGATCTTTTCATTTTTATTTATTTCCATTTTATTTGAGAGAAGTAGACAAAGAACTTTCCATTTGCTGGTTCACTCCCCAAATGCCAACCAGGGCTGGACCCAGGCTGAAGCCTGGAACTGGGAATTTCATCCAGTTCTGCCCAGTGGGATGGCGGGGACCCAAGTACTGAAGCCATCACCTGCTGCTTCCCAGAGCGGGCATCAGCAAGAAGCTGAATTCGAAGCAGGGCCGGGACTTGAACCACCACATTTGATACGAGAAATGGGCATCCCAAGTGGCATTTAACCTTGTGCCAAGCGCCCAGCCCTCCAGGACATCCCCTAGGGCTATTCATTGGCTGTGCCACCCCAGGAAGGGAGCTGGAGGGTTCTCAGCCCAGCAGTCCCCTCCTTTCCTGACAGCCCTGAGGATCACACGGCAGCAGGCCAGCATCCAGTCCATGTTCTCTCTGCCTTCTATTTTATCAAGTGCTTTGGAACATCATGCCTCTTGGCAAGCTCAGCTGGATGGTTCCACCAAGCCGCATTCAAATTTAAATTCTCAATACAGAGGGCTGCATTCTGTCTCGGACCCCATTTGTCCTCTGCAACTTTCTGTCTTTGGGCCTCTGCCTCTTTTTTCCTCTATCCTTATTTTCCATTCCCACTCTGCAGCAGCTGTGTCCCTAGTTAGGGCTGGTGTACCTGTGGCAGAAGCAGCTGCATGCTGGTACCTCTGGCTTCCCGCTCCTCTTCCCCTGGTTGGCTCTGGTCAGAGGCTGCTCTGGACTTGCTCTCTGCCCCAGAAGCATACACACATCTCTGGTCCTAGCGCTGACTGCTGTCCTTAGCTTACTCCTTGCAGGTTTGAGTTTGTTTTGTGACAGGATTGTTAAAGCTGGAGTATGCAATCTGCACCTAAAGCCTGGGCTTAGGCGGGAAGGAGCAGCCACAGGAATGCATGATTTGTCCCAAGCCTGATCTAGGGATGCTGGACAAATACCCAACTCAGTGTGCATCCAGGGAGGAGCGGACTGTGGTGGTGGTGTGCTGAGCTCTGAGACAGACAGTTCCCTAACCTCAGCTGGTGCTGGATCAAGGTCATTCCCAGAAGCCTGCACCACCTCTGGACTTCTCTAGCTTAGTGGGCTGGGCAGAGGCCAGAGTTGGAAGTCAAGACACACTGGAGGCCCCATGAGAGCAGCTAGGATGGAACCAGATGTCAATTTGGGTATCCATAGCATGATGCCAAGACCAACCGGAGCTACCACTTAGCTTCTGGGCCTGAAGGACTCATCTAGAGGAGTACTGGGCATTGGGGATCTGGGTGGGACCTGAATCACCGCTTGGGCACACAGCAATGTGCACACAGGGGTTCACATGAGCCCTGGTGGGATTTTGGTGCCTAAGAACGTTCTTCTGGGGTCAGCCCTGGGGGTGCCCTAAGACTCTCCAGTTCAGTGCAGAGCCACAAGTGAGGCCTCCTGGGCTGTGGCTGGAATCAGGACTTGCACACAGGTGTCATCAGAACACAGGATAAGCTCAGAAACCAAACCCAGGGCTCCCCCAGTGCTGTGGTTTGATCAGGATTTGGGTCTTGAACCTGTGGGTAGGGGTGCTGGGAGGG